GCTTGTAAGTCCATCTTCTGCCTATAACTGATTGGAATACCTAAAATGGGGCTACAACGTGCCCAGTGAAGGAGGCTTCCTGCAAAGCCTCTGCATTACATAAGATTATAGGTGGAATCCTGAACCACATTCAGAATCTTCTGAGGTGGAAAATTTCCACTTGAAAGGACAAGCAGACCAGCCTGCAGCAGCTAGAAGAACAAAAGATACTTCTTGAAAGAAAGACCTATGGGAAAAATACTGAACAATAAAGGCAGTCCGACTGATAACTACAAAAACAAGCAAGTTGCTCGCCCAGGAGACATCAAGCCAAGTGGTCGGGTCCCCTTCCAAGAGCAAGACTCATGCTCTGATTGGTGACCACGTTCGTCACCAATAAGGAGAAGTGAGAGAAAACAGCAATGAAGCTGTGAGCTAAGTTCAAACCATGTTCAATAGACTCCTGTGAACCCGGGTGGAGACCCAGTTGGCCAGCAGTGTGGCAAGACAGAGGACTAGAGTGGAGAATGAAACTTACAGCTGATAAGAAGAGAGGGCATGTGCACAAGAACACTCACACTTGCAGATAATACCCACTTGACCTGGCTGCAATGACTGGATGATCAGAGCTCAACTAGAAGAAGAAAGAAGAGGAAAAAAAGAGTAATCTGATACAATTTGATGAACTTGACCTACTCCTATGGATGCAGTAGCTCAAAAGAGGGAACAAATCTTTACAGCAAGGATCATTCCCACAGCCTCCATACATAGAGTAGACAGGGATGGGCAACTTGGACATTGGCTACCCAAAATGAGGGGGTTACAAAGGCAAGAAGTGACTGGCTTACAAGCTTTCAAGAGGGAGCCTAGATCCAGAGGGTGCAGAGGAAGGTAGAATCTCCACTGAATAGTATTCAATCTGTCTGGGCGGGGCTGATGAAAGGAGATGCAGATAGGTCTCTTGTGTTACAATAGTGAATAATTGCTATCAGGACTGACTGTGAGGGTTGGAAATGTCAAGGTAGACATTTTGTAGCAAAAGGAGGGGAGTGATTGACTTTTCAGTCTAAGAGCGGAGGTCCCTAGGACCATCAAAGGAGAAGAGCAGAGAGCGGGACCCTACCCAGAGAATCAGTGATGCCAGAGATGGAGGCAGAGATGATGACGTGGAGAGATGGAGCAGCTGGAGACTTTAGACCTAGAGAGGGAGAGGGCTGTATGCTGACGACTGGGGTCAGGCTTGCAGGGTATACCCTTTGGTTGGTTGATGATGCATGGAGGGGATTGTAACCATGGCAATGAAACGATATACGATAGGATGAATGTAAAACTGATGTTCTCCCATGTAAACTATCACATAATTCACAATAAAACATTAAAAACAAAAAACAGGCAGCTGGGCTTTATAATAAAGCCACTCAACCTGATGTCAACTCTAGTCCTCTCTGCAGGGTTACCCAGAACCTTCCTGACCTTATCTGCAAGCCCCAGGCTCACCTTCCTCCCGACTGAGTGCTTATGAACACCTACTGTATGCTGGGCCCAGGGCGGGGTGTTTATGAGCATCTACTGTGTGCCAGAAGTCCTCGTGTGGTGCTATAAGCACTGGACTACTACCCGCAAGGTCGATGGTTCAAACCCACATACCTTCCTTGGAAACCCTATACAGAGTTTCTCTGAGTCAGAACAACTGTGTGCCAGGCCTTTGGATACAATTGTGGCAAGACAGACAATTACTGCCTCAGGAGGGTTAATTCTGGGTAGAGGTGGGGACACAGAATAAGGAAATGAACTTTAGAATGGAGGGAAAAGTAAAAAAGGAGGCAATGGAGGGAGTCCAGGGTCAGTGAGCAGGAAAAACCTCTCCGGTAGCATAGAGGTTACAAATCGGACTGTGAACCTCAGGGTTCCGCAGGAGAAAGATGAGGCTTTCTGCTCCCATTAAGATTTACAGCTTCGGAAACCCTGTACAAGGTCGCTGTGAGTTGGAACCGACTCCACAGCACAGAACAGCAACAAAGAGGGTGAAGAAAGGGAGGGGGCAGCCCTTCAGGTATCTGAGTTCCACACAGTGCAAAAGCCCTGGGGTAGGTGTGCTTAGGGAGGAGGCTGAGGGGCTGAGGCAGAGTGAGGTGGGGGGTAATGAGGGAGGCAGCCAGAGGTGAATGGGGGCCTGTCAGGACATCAGACACAGAGGAGCCATGGGCGGGGTGGGGTGGGGGTGGGGTGGTATCTGAGCAAATGTGATGTGACATCAGTTTCACAGAGATTCAATAGGCTGTACACCAGGTTCCACTCCCCCACTCCGCACCCCCATCACAGTTACCACCTCTAATCCCCTTCAAGGACAGGCCTATGCAGGGGTCATTCCAAAAAAGAAAGTTGGGGTTGGTGGGGCCCGATCCCCTCCCTCGGCAGCCCCAGCCCAGCCCAGTACCCACCTTCAGCAGTGGGGTCCGGGGCCTCCTCCCCAGACCTCTGTTCATGCTGTTGCTCACTGAGCTGCTTGTTGAAAGGGTTGAGGTGGGCCTGCCGGAACCGGGCCAGCTTCTCATCATATTCCATAGCATCCCACCTGGGGGAGGGAGGGTCAGGCACAGTGAGTGATGGGCTCAGGCTCTGTGAGGCCCCAGCCCCTGATTAACTCTGGGCTTTCAGAGGTGAGATCTTACTGCTATCCTTGAGGGTGGGTGTCTGGGTACGGCAGCCCCAAGTCTCTGCCTCAATCCTTAGCTCTCCCCAAGAATATTCAGCCTCTACCACCCAGGTTCACCCCAGGGGAGAGCCCATAGTGATGGCATCTTCTCACTCCTGTTAGAGAGGGTCCTAACTCATCAAAGGTGCCACCAGGCAATGGCAGCCCAGGCTCCAGCCTCCAGTGCAGGGTTGTTTGACCCTGGGGGTCGGGAGCCCAGTCCACCCACTCTCTCCTGTGTCAGCTGCCCAGGCTGTGACCCAGACCACAGACACCGGGCCATACCTGCACTCCCCAGCCTGGATTCAAATTCCACAGACAATGACCGCACATGACCCTGGTCAGCCAAAAGGCCCCACACCTGGGAGTTGGAGATCAAGGAGTCAGTGCCTAAACCCCCTCTGGAGGAGGTGAGGTCACAACCACATCTTTCCTCTTCCTCCAGCTGTGGGTAGGGGTCTTTGTCTGAGTCAGGAATGAAGCCTGGTTTGCAATGTGTCCCCTGACTTAACGAGCCAGGCTGGGATCCTAACCTCTGCTGGCCTCTGTTTCCTCATCCATAAATGGGGACAATGGCTGTCTCTGCCTCAGAGGGTGACTTCTTAGTAAGGTAGATTAGGGTTGAGAAGTTGGAGATGGTTTTAAGTAGTACATTCACAGATACTGTTATACTCCGTTGTATCTTTCTGCTGCTGCTGTTGTCGTTGTTAAGTGCCATCCAGTTGGTTTTGACTCATAGCAACCTTATACACAGCACAACGAGACACTGCCCAGTCATGCACCATCCTCACAATTGTTGCTACGCTTGGTCCTATGGCTGCTGCCACTGTGCCAATCCATCTTATTGGGGGTCTTTCTCTTTTTTGTTGACCTTCCATTTTACCTAGCATGATGTTCATCTCCAGGAACTTGTCCCTCCTGACAATATGTCTCAAGTATGATAGGAGTCGTCCACCCTTCCTCCTTCCTAGTCCGTCTTAGTCTGGAAGCTCAGCTGAAATCTGTCCACCCTCGGTGTACCCTGCTGGTATTTAAAATACCGGGGCATAGTTCCCAAGATTACAGCAACATGCAAGCACCACAGTAGGACCAACTGATGAAGGAGTGAGTGGTGGCTATACCTGCCATCAAGCTATGGAGTCAATTCTGATTCATAATGGCTTTATGTAGGGTTGTTGAAGTTGTAAATCTTTACAGGAGCAGACTGTATCATCTTTCTCCCATGGAGCAGCTGGTGGGTTTGAAACAGTGGTCAACAGTCCAATGCCTAACCCACAGTACCACCAGGGCTCCTCTATACCTGTTTAGTCGAAAACAATTCATGATTATGAGTGACGGCTCTTGACTCCTCCTTTTCACTGCCCCTCCTCCTAAAAGACAGAAGACCCGGGCACCTGTCCTTCCTGTTCAGCATCTGAGATGGGAGGTGGCTTGGGTGACTGAATTCCTCAGTCAAACAGGAAACAGAGATGTGCCTACTCTCCGCCTACCACAAGATGACTGTGGCTGGGTCACACAGGAAACTTGGGTCAGCGACAGTCACCTGATGTCCCTGTGCCTCCCTGTCCCCCCTCAGCCCTGCCCCAGACTGGCAGTTCTACAAAACACCCAGAGAGGAGGAAAAGTCAAGCTGTCCCAACATCCACTCCTTCTTCTTCTTGAGAGGGGAGCCATTGCTATTAGCTTGGCCGATAAGGACTTATCCTCCCGCACTATTAGATGTTGCCATGTTGTACTTACTGGAATGTGAACAGATGGATCATGTGAGACTTCTGGGAACTGTACTTAAAGGAGCCCTTCTTTCTTACTACTGCCTGACATGTAGATATAATGAGTGGAGCAGAAGCAGCCACCTTGGGCTATTTTGGAAGTCATGGATGAGACTATTGGAACGTGGAAGAAGGAGCTTCCAAATGAGCCCTGAGCTACGCACCCCCCAGGCTTCATTCAAGACAGGAAGAAATTTCTTTCTATTTAAACCCCTGTTACTAGAGGAAATGGGGAGGAGTTCTGGCTCTTATAACCCAAACAAATCCTAACTGGTCAGCCAACAGCCTCTCGGGGACCTTTCTCACACCCTAGTTCTGCCATTTCTTTGCTGTGGAATCTTAGTCAATACCTAAAGCTCTTTTTGCTTCCAATTTCTCGTGTTTCAAGTGAGGAAAACAATTTGTTGTTGTTGTATACTGTTACGTTGGTTTCAATTCATAGCGACTCTACAGGACCAAATGGAATTGACCCATAGTGTGTCCAAGGCTGAAGTCCTTACCAGAGCAAGTCCCCAGCTCTTTTCTCCTGTGGAGCCATCGATGAGATGGCTAAGCTGCCTTTTCCTCAGGCAGGACTCCTTCCACCCCAGGACGCCTTGGGGATACTAACTGTCCACTGATGTCAAGTCAATTCCAACCTATGTTGACCCTATATGCTGGGCAGACCCCATGGGGTTACTGTGAAGATTACATTGTTGTTAGGTGACATCCAGTTGGTTGTGACCCTAAGTATCACAGAACAAAACACCGCCTGGCCCTGCACCATCTTCACAATCGCTGCTGCCACTGTGCCAATCCATCTCGTTAGGGGGTCTCCCTCTGTTTCTCCATCCCTCCATTTACCAAGTATGACATCCTTCTCCAGTGACTGGTCCCGCCTGATAATATGTCCAAAGTATGAGAGACGACATCTGGCCATCTGGATTCTAAGGAGCATTATAGTGGTACTTCTTCCGACACAGATTTGTTTGTCTTCTGGCCATCCGTGGTAATTTTAGTATCTTTCTCTAACACCACAACTTAAATTCATGAATTCTTCTGCAGTCTTCCTTATTCACTGTACAACTTTAACAAGCATATGAGGCTATTGAAAATACCATAGCTTGGATCAGGCACACTTAAGTCCTCAAACTGACATCTTTGCTCTTGAACACTTTAAAGAGGTCTTAAGCAGCAGAGTAGCCTAATGCAATTCTTTTGATTTCTGGACTGATGCTTCTTCCATGAGTGCTGATGATGAATCCAAGCAAAATGAAGTCTTAACACAAAATGCTGAAGACACTAAACAGCATATTGCCTATGACTTTTTACTACACTATGCCTATTATTCTGTAGAATCGGCAGTCCTGATTTGAATTCTGGCTCTGTAATTAAGATCCATGCCATTTTCTAACCCATATATCAGGATGAACACCTGCCTCTTGGGGGTTGGGAAATCAATATGAGCCTGTGTCTGAGAAGCTGGCAGCCTGAGCTACTGCTACATAAAACCTCACTCTTATATCGTGACCTGTCTGACCCCAAACACTGGACAAGAGTGCTAGTCCCCAGGACCTTCTTCCTATAGCGTGATTCCTGGGGTACCCAGGAAACATCCCAGAGTTACCAAATATGGCCCGAAGAGCTCCGAGCCAGGCCTGCCAGGTAATAATGTCACCTAGGCAAAAACACCTCAGCCCTTCCCAACAGTGCACAGAACAGGAACAAGCCCCAGGTGATGAACTCCCCAGTGGCCAGATGCAAAGGATGAATAAAGGAGTGAAGCCTCATCCAGCCTAAATTTCTCTCCCATCAAGTGGAACAATCCTATCTCCCTGACTCCTGAGCTGCTGCAGGCAGGAGAGACAGTATCCCAGCACATGGGGCAGAGTAGGGGGGCACAGTGGGTAAGGCTAACTTTAAGCAGAGGTATCTCCATCTCCACTGCACTCCCATCACGGTGACCCCAGAGAGGTCTGCTCCCAGAACTCTCCAGACTTGGGCTCAGAAGAGGAAAGACGTCCACAAACCCACTCTCTCTAAAGGTCACCAGTCCTGACCCCTCCATCTTGATCCTGAGGTACTGGGCAAGGAATTGATGGTTAGACAATGTCCACACTGAGAGCAGGTGAACTGAAACTCTGGATGGGCCCTTGACAACCCCAATCATATTCCAACGTCCTGCTTAGCCACCAAGAGGTGGTCCTGTCACCCAAGCTCCCACTGGGAGGACTCAGGAGCCATCCTGGAGGGCAGTAGAGGAGAGGAAGGTCTGTCGTTTGTGCTCAGACCTGGAACGAAGCCTGTTGCTGAGGACCAGTGGGACGCAGGGACCAGGGTCACTGTTCTTTTAAAAACTGTTTACCACCCATGAAGACCAGACTGTGGTCACCACCCGAGTCAGGGCCCAGGTAGTGGGAACCATCCCTCCCTATACTTTTGCCCACAACAACACGACTTTGCTCTGGGCACCCTTTTATCTCCCTTTTTCATCAGGGAAGGGCGGTGTCAACTCCCACCCAGTTCAGAGATGAGGAAGCTGAGGGTCACAGCGGATCAGCGAAACCGAGGATAACACAGCCACAGAGGTTCCAAAGCCTGGCTTATCCCACAGACAGCCCTTGTTTACAAGAGAAAAGGTGACAATGTCACCTGGAGAGGGGTGGGACAGACATGCTGGGGTGCTAAGCACTGCCCGATGGGGGCTGGGAACGCACCTGGTCTTCCACCTTCCACGCTTCCCCCCACCCTGCAACTGGATGAGGTGCTGAAGGTGGCGACCGGACTACCGGGACGGGCGGGTCACTCACCCCTCGGCATCCGCCTAAGGAAATGGAGCGTACCAGTCCTGGGTGGCCAGCTGCGTGAGCCCCCGTGGGCAAACCCCCCTCCCCAAGCCTCGTGAGCCCCCGTGGGCAAACCCCCCTCCCCAAGCCTGGCCCCACCTTCCCCTGCCCGGCTCACCGCACAGCCGCCGCCCTCGCTACATTGTAACCCGTCGCCGCCCTCACTACTTTGTATCCGGTACGCGGACCGCTGCTGCCGCCCGCGGCCCGGAGGCTCATGACACGCCGGCTGCCCGGGGGCCGGGCGCCCCGGCTTCCAAGGGCCCTCCCGGCAAGGCAACCACACGTCTCCGCTGTTCTCAGGAAGATGGGGCTGCATTCTCGAGATTTCCCGTAATCCAATAAACTCTGGTTTAAATCAAAGCGACAGCCTATTAAAAAAGAAAAAAAGATGGTATTTCATTAAAAAACAAAAAAAAACAGTGGTTAATCTTATGTACCCCACTCCTTTTTAGGTATAAACCGTTGAAGAACGTGTTTCTGTGTTTCTACTCCAGCTTCCTTTCTTTTATGATTATTTTTTAAAGTTCTCTTAGTATTTACTTTCTTTTATTCATCACTACAAATCATATAGCTGGAGCTCTCTGTAGACAAAGGCATGCGAATATTTATGCTATCTCAATAAGTTTGCACAGGAGCCCTAATAGTTGTTTAGTGGATAGAAACGTGTGATAAATATATACATAACAAAAACATTTGCCATTTCAACATTATTCACATGTAAAATAAAGTGACATTAATTATATTTAAATGGAGCTCTGGTAGCGTAGTGGTTATGAATCGGGCTGCGAACCTTAAGGTCAGCAGTTCGAAACTACCAGCTGTTCCGTGGGAGAAAGATGAGGCTTTCTGCTCCTGTAAAGGTTTACAGCCTCTGAAACCCTGTACAGGGTCGCTATGAATCGGTTCAGACTCCACGCACATACCACCACCAATTATATATTTAAAAAAAAAAAAAAAAAAAAAACAGTGGTTAGAAGAAAAATGGAGTGAGACACCGCCGCAGCAGCTACATGTGCCTGGAGCTCCCACCCTGTGTGGTCTTCACAGCCTCCAGGGACAGAAGTGCTGCCACTCACCACATTTTATAGGTGGGGAAAATGAGGCACAGCAAGGTTACCAGCTAGTCAGTAGAGAAGTGAAGGGTGAGACTTTAGGGCTGATGTCTACTGCTTCCCAGATGTTTATAAACTCAAAAGAACAGGCTGCTGCCATCCCCATCTCCTCACTCCACCACTCCATAGAAGCAGTTAGCATTTTCACTCAGTGGATCTTGCATCCACAGGAGGAGCCAAGGATTCACTAAGGTAGACACGGGACAGACAGTAGACAGGTGTGGGACCCCTTGAGCCCTGGGACTCAGCTTCCTCTTTCTGTAGAAACATTGGATCATTCACTGCTGCTGCTGCTTCTGGGATTGGTACAGCTCGCTCTGAGGGGCCATCATTGCACCAGGGCCCATTAATTGGGGGCCACCCATGTGACACCTGGAGTCCTGGTGGGGTGCTGTAAAATAAGCACTGAACTGCTAAGTGCAAGGTCAGCAGTTCAAACTCACCAGTCACTCCTGGGAAACCCTATGCATTTCCCATAGTCATCATGAGTTAATAACACACCAACAGCAGGTGGAGCCCTGCACTCAGCATTAGTTACACACCAGATACAAAGCTGGAAGAGGGGCTCCTTCAAGGAAGGATGTTCCGGGTTCTTCAGTTCTCTGTCCAAGAGCCCACAGCCAATGAGCAGCAGAGCAGGAGGAAGCTCTGGGACCTGCCAATAGCCAAGCTTCTTCTGGCTTCAGACCTAGAGGGAGATGTCACCCAGCTGGCTCTAGGTTCTGTTTGCATCTGATCTCTATGCCCCTCCCCACTGACCACTCCTCCTCTTCACCCCATCTCTGGACACAAACATACTCCAGCTTGTCCCTGGGTCCTTTCTTTCATTCGGCGAATGTTCTCTCCCTGGTGGTGGCTTCCAGGCCGACAACTTCTGAAAACATTCCTTTGCAGAAGTTTTCTCAGCACAGACCTTCCTGGACCTCTCCCCAAGATGCTAGGACTGATGTCCAAGTGCCTTCTAGACATGTCCTCTGGAAACCTTCTCAAACACAATACAGCCAATGACACTGGGCTCTCCTCAGAGCCCGCTCCTCCTATGCCTTCCCCAGCTCATCAAGGACCTACACCCTCCACTGCTCAGAACCAACACAGGCTCATCCAGGATCCCTCCTCTCAATCCCCTCATCTGTTCTGTCCCAGAATCTGAACACTCCTCCTCACTCATTCACCACACCCCCAAGGCCAATGCTGAGAAATCTTGTTCTCCAGGTCACAGGCTGAGAAACACTGTGGTTTGCAGTCCTACCAGTGTCCACAGATGTCCAGTCACCTGGAGGACCTGGACATGTTTGTCTCCCTCACCCAGGGAAGCACCTTCATGCCCAGTCCAGCTGCTTCCAACGGGGTATTCCCACCCAGTTTCCATATCTGTCTTAACTCTGCTCCCCAGGAAACAGATCGATCTCTCCTCAGCCCTGATCTGAGGAGCATTTCTCACCTGGTTCACACTGACTACATCTGCCCCCAACTCTCACAAGAGGCATAGCTCACATTGGGGACACACACAACAGGCTCTTTCTCTGGCGACCGTGACAGTGCTTAAAATCTTCACTATATTCACTGTCATCGCCAACACTGGCTGTTACCCAAGCAAGTTGTTTTCAAAGAATTTTAAAAGAAGAAATCTTTAATTTCAAATGAAAACCAAAATGAAGCCCAATTCCACAATGCAAGAGGTAAATTACTCCTTGCAGTGGGGAAACAGACGCTAGAGAGGGGAAGGATCCGCCCACAGTCAGGGGGTTGTCTCAGGCCCCCAGGTCTTTGAGGGCTCCCCAGCTGGCTCAAGGCTGTGCAAGACTCAGTCTCAAACCCCTCCGTCCCAGTGTGATCTCGCCAGCTGCACGCGTTATGGATCGGTTTCCCACCATCCATACATAAGCCCTGCGTCCCAGGATCGCTGGCTTCACAACCTTCCCGGCTGGATGCACAAAGCCCTTTGGAGGTGGGGCCTAAGGATGGACCAGCCAATAATATGGCTGGCCTTGAAACATCGTCCCATAGGGTTCTCCATATTGGATGGTGCCTGACCAACCAGAACCCCTCTAGAGAGTAAAGTGAGATTGCTGGAACCAGACTTTTCCATCAGTTTGGGGCTGTGGCATCTTCTGGCTCATGCCTACCCATTTTAACAGTGCCAGTGGACTTTGTCAGTCGCCAGCATTGACTTTTTGCTTCTCGCTGAAGAACAGAACACTTCATCCCCACCTCCCCACTCCTCATCCCTGCAGGTTATGAAATGGAAGCCCAAGCACCTTAGCTGAGTGATGTCGACCTCTTATCAATAAGTCATCTTGGGGCTTAGCTTCTCATTGGAAAGTAACCAGATTAACAGCCAGGAAAGCGCTTTGTCCATGTGCAAGGGATTGAGATGACTTCCAGAATCTTCCCTAGGACCCCGAAGAAGCCCTTGGACCCTCCTTTAATTTACTACAGTTGCAGGCAGAACCACCCAGAGCCTTCAGAAGGTGAGAGTCGGTACTGAGGTGCAGCCCCCATGGTAACACACCACCCAACACCTAGTGGGTTAGGTGAGAACCCTTGGATTATGTTCACTAATTGTTTGGATCAGATTCGGATACAGCAGGCATGGCTGGTCTCTGCTCCATGATGTTTGGGGATGGAGGTGGGGGCTCCACTCACAGGCCTGCCCTGCACATAACTTAGGCTTCCATATACTGGGTGCGAAGCACCCAGAGCTCAGGGTACCCAGGACAGCCTGAATTAGGGCTGAGGTCCCAGACACTGGCCCCTTAAATAGCTCAGCACCCCTATGATAAGTTTAGAGGTCTGTGCCTAGCCTTGAGGCCGCTGTCCCCCACCACTGGACACACCCGTCTTTTGAGTGAGGGACCCTTCCTAGTCTGTGCTTCAGGTCTGATGTTAATCTCTTGTCTTCTAATGTCTAACACATACATCAGCCAAGGAGTGCTGGAGGGGACACTTTTGTCATGGCCTATAGTGGGAGACAAGGAAGCGAGCATGGAGGCTGTCCCTGTCCCTCAAGTCATCCAGAAGCCACTGGACAATGTGCTGGTAAGAGTGGGCTCAGGTTCAAGCCCTTCCTTCTTCAGGGCTTTCAGTTCCAGAAGCCCCTCCAGGCTCCACACACACCAGCCGAGTTCCATACCCTACCCCTGCCTAAGCCTCCGGGTCAGCCCCTTCTCACTCCTCTGGGCTCAGCTTCCAAGAATAAAAAGAAATCTACAAAGCAGAGGTATCTGACAGCAATAATTTTATTAAGTATCCAAAAGAATTAAAAATCAACACAAACCAATAAAAAAAAAAATATCACAAACGATAGATGTCAGGCCTGAAGCCACAATAAAACAAAGAGACACTGGGGCAACACAGAAACGGAGGTCAGAGGTTAGAGCTCGGGGCTCATGGGATGGGGAGGCTTGAATACTGAGTGACAGAACTCGGGGACCCCAGGCAAAGCACTGGCAGCTGGGGGGTGGAGCCTAAGGGCTGTGCTAGGGGTGGGGCCCTGGGGACAAACTGCTGCCCCACCCCCCCAGGCCTGGCCTTCAGCTCCTGGTAGGGGCCTTCACTTGGGGCCTTGAGCCTCTGACTCCTCATCATCATCCTCGTACATCTCGCCCTCCTCCTCAGCCGTGGCGTCCTGGTACTGCTGGTACTCGGACACCAGGTCATTCATGTTGCTCTCGGCCTCGGTGAACTCCATCTCGTCCATGCCCTCGCCCGTGTACCAGTGCAGGAAGGCCTTGCGCCGGAACATGGCCGTGAACTGCTCCGAGATGCGCTTGAACAGCTCCTGGATGGCCGTGCTGTTGCCGATGAAAGTAGAGGACATCTTGAGACCACGGGGCGGGATGTCACACACGGCCACCTTGACGTTGTTGGGGATCCACTCCACGAAGTAGCTGCTGTTCTTGCTCTGGATGGCCAGCATCTGCTCGTCCACCTCCTTCATGGACATGCGTCCACGGAAGACGGTGGCCACGGTCAGGTAGCGGCCATGGCGTGGGTCACAGGCTGCCATCATGTTTTTGGCATCGAACATCTGTTGGGTGAGCTCAGGCACAGTAAGTGCCCGGTACTGCTGGCTGCCCCGGGCAGTGAGTGGGGCAAAGCCAGGCATGAAGAAATGAAGGCGGGGAAAGGGTACCATGTTGACAGCCAGCTTTCGCAGGTCTGCATTGAGCTGCCCAGGGAAGCGGAGGGAGGTGGTGACGCCACTCATGGTGGCAGACACAAGGTGATTGAGGTCTCCATAGGTAGGAGTGGCCAGCTTGAGGGTGCGGAAGCAGATGTCATAGAGGGCCTCGTTGTCGATGCAGTAGGTCTCGTCTGTGTTTTCCACCAGCTGGTGGATGGACAGCGTGGCATTGTAGGGCTCCACTACGGTGTCTGACACCTTGGGTGAAGGCACCACACTGAAGGTGTTCATGATGCGGTCGGGGTACTCCTCTCGTACCTTGCTGATGAGCAGTGTGCCCATACCTGAGCCTGTGCCTCCACCCAGCGAGTGGGTCAGCTGGAAGCCCTGCAGGCAATCACAGTTCTCACACTCCTTCCGCACGACGTCCAGGACCGAGTCCACCAGCTCTGCACCCTCTGTGTAGTGGCCTTTGGCCCAGTTGTTGCCAGCTCCACTCTGACCTGCAGGGGCAGATGAGGACGGCAGAGACCCAGGTCAGGGATTTCTGGCCAGACATGCAGTGGCCACTGTGAGAGCCAGGGGCCTCTGCTCCCCATTCTGTGAAGTTGAGGTGCCCTTGGACAACACACCTCCATACCCTGCATGGCTTCTACCACATCAGGAGTATTGGGACCATGTTTGCTGAGTGCTCAGTGGTAAGGGGTCTAAACAGGAATCTGGACACCAGAGTTCTGCTCACAAGTGACATTGGGAAGGGTTTTGGGTTAGTCACTTTTGTTCACTGTCCCACTACCCTAACCCACCCTCCCTCTGATTGACCATTCAGAAGCTTTAACCACAACCACTAGCTGGGTTCTGGAAGTGAATTCATGTCCATCAGTTAGGTGTGATGGCTGGAGGCCATTTTCTGTTGCTATTCGTGTCCAGCATCCAGCTGCCAGGCTGGTGCATAGGGCCCCCACATTCCTCACCCAGATCTCCACATTGCTGTAAGCACTTACATCTCTGTGTTACACCCTGTTAGACACCCTGTTAGACGTGAAATCCCTTAAGCAGTCTGTTCCTGATGACCCCGGTGCTGGACTGACTTAGCACCCCCCACGGTAGATTGGATTCACCTGTGATGGACAGGGCAAGGGACCTTACCAAAGATGAAGTTGTCAGGCCTGAAAAGGTGCCCAAAGGCTCCAGAGCGGACACTGTCCATGGTGCCTGGCTCCAGGTCCACCAGGATGGCCCGAGGCACATACTTGTGAGCTGGGAATGTGGATAATTAATAGAGTTAGAGAGGGCCCTCCTTGTCCCCAAATCCTGCTCTACCTTATGGCTTCTGCTCTGACCCTTGACTCTGTGTCAAATCTGGAGTCAGAAACTTGGGGCTGAGCCCTGACCCAGCTCCGCCACATGATAGTGGGGGCCCAGGACAGTCAAAATCAGTCAGATGCCCAGGAAACAGGGCTCCTATCTCACCAGCTCCCCACGTAAGGTGCTTGGCCTTCCACCATTGTACATCTGCTAGAGATCCTTCAGAACTTTTCGTCTCCACTGACCTCTGACTGGTTTGCTTTGGGGATCTGGTTGCCACACTCAACTTTCACTATTGGCCTCTAGAGGGCAGCAAAGCTATGGCCAAGCCACCAACCTCCCCACCCCACCCCAGGCAAAAGAGGACAAGACCCCAGCTATCAGTGTCCCCGCCCCTGGATGGAATACTAGGCCCCAGCCATCAGTGTCTCCCAGAATGGAGGAGGAGGCCAAGTGGCCCCCAGGTCAGTTGGGGCAAGTACTTACAAGAGGCTTCATTGTAGTAGACGCTGATCCGCTCCAGCTGCAGGTCTGAGTCCCCCACGTAGTTGCCACTTGGGTCAATTCCATGCTCATCACTGATGACTTCCCAGAACTGCAGAAGAGGGTGTGAGTGAGGAGTCAGGGCCTCAACTCCCTGAACACCCCTGAGCAAGGAAGGGTGAATGAGGGTCCTGCCCCACTCGCCCACACTCCTGTGACTATGGAGGAGCAGCTGTCCTCAGGCCATCCCCTTGTTGCCATGGGCAGAAGCCCCTCAGCTCTTCTCATATCTGCTCCCCAGACTTCAGCCAAGTGGGAAGACAGACAGAAAGGCAGAGAAGGAAGGAGCTGGGCCCCACCCCTTACCAGCCAGGTGACCTTGGATGAGTCATGGGGATTGGTGCCTTACCTGTAACAAGGGTCTGATGATGAGGACAGGATGATCAGAAGTGTTAAACTTTGCCACAGAGTAGACTACCCAAAATGGAGGGGGGGGGCCTACAAAGGCAAGATGTGACTGCCTTACAAGCTTTAAAGAGGGAGCCTAGATCCAGAGGGCGTGGAGGAAGATAGAATTTCCACTGAGTAGTATCCAATCTGTCTGGGTGGGGCTGATGAAAGGAGATGGGGATAGCACTCATGTGGCACACTACTGAATAACTGCTATCAGGACTGACTGTGAGGGTTGGAAATGTAAAGGTAGATGTTTTGTAGCAAAAGGAGGGGATTGGTTGACTTTGTAGTCTAGGAGTGGAGGTCCCTGGGACCATCAGGGGGGAAGATCGGAGAGCGGGACCCTACCCAGAGAAGCAGTGATGCCAGAGATGGAGGCAGAGATGATGACATGGAGAGATGGAGCAGCTGGGGACTTTAGACCCAGAGATGGAGAGGAGCTGTGTACTGATGACCGGGGGTGGGGGGGCAGGCTTGTAGGGTATACCCTTTGGTTGGTTGGTGATGCATGGAGGGGATTGTAACCATGGCAATGAAACGATATACGATAGAATGAATGTAAAGCTAATGTTCTCCCATGTAAACTATCACATAATTCACAATAAAACATTAAATAAAAAAGAAGTGTTAAACTTTGCAACGCTTTTGACTGGAACCTGGCGTGGTACATTGTTAGTGAAGTGTGTACACATAGAAACAAGCTGAACACTCTACCACCCTGGAGACCCTTCCCAAATGACTAGCCACAAGGCAGGGGGCCACACGCTGCGACTCATCTCGCCCTGTCCACCTCCCCCTTACTCCTCAGAGTTGGAGTGACTTTCTGATGAGCTAATGGGTGTGAAGGCTCTGAGACACAAAGCGCCTCTACATGTGAGTCACACGCCACTGCAATGATTGCTCTGTGAGAGCAGCAGGTTATAAAACACTGAGCATGTGCTTATTTATGTAAGGCTGTTCCTGGCAGATGCCCCTGGGGGCACAGTACCGGCCTGGAGATAGATCTCTTTTCACTGAACGCCCTTTGATGCTGGAATTCCCTGTCATGTGCATGCATTAAGTTTGCACACACACAAAAAAATGTTCAGTTAAAAATAAATGTAGAAAACTAAAAAGCACAAACTGTAATTATTATAAAATTCACTGATGAACACTTGACAATTCACCAACATAGACTGGTCAGAGTCAGCGCTCAGCATGGGAGACAGGGAGATCTTCTCCTCCTGGGTGTATTTGTGTCATTGCTAAGTTTTCTTCTTTTTTTTTGCATTTGTGTGCCTGTTAAGTGTCATTGACTTATAGAGATCCTGTATAGGGTTTCTGAGGAGCAGCTGGTGGGTTTGAACTGCCAACCTCGTGATTAACAAGCAGTCTGGTGCTTATCATATAGTTCCAAACCAGTACTCCTCTTTTTGCATTAAGCATAAGTTAAACCGACTCGACGGCACTTAACAACAACAACAACAATTTTGCAATTAGAAAAAATAAAAATGTAGACACGTTACTGAGGCATTTGTGACCTGGTCTGAGCCCTTCAACCTGCTCCTTGGTTGTGTCAGAAAGCTATTGGTTTTCTTGGTCCCCACAGACCTGTGGTACACCAAACCTCTGGCTCCAGAGACACCCTCAGCCACAAGCCCCTGTTGGCTAATAGAGGAGCTGTGTGGGAACAGGAGACAGTGACCTTTGCCACCATGCCATTACTAAGTGTCGGTGTGTCAATAATCCCTACTCATAGTGACCCTGTATAGAGTTTCTGAGGAGTAGACAGTGGGTTTGAACTGCCGACCTTGTGGTTCAAAGTCCAGTGCTGATCCTACAGCGCCACACCAGAGCCACACCAAAATCAAACCCAATTCTGTCAAACGGAACCAGTAGAACTGTAATCTTTATGGGAACAGACTGCCTCAGCTTCCCCCATGGAGCAGCTGGTGAGTTCAAATGACTGGCCTTTTGGTTAGCAGCCAAGAATTTGTAACCACTGCACAAGAAGGGCTCTCTATGCCATTAACGCACCCCATGGGAAGTTCTCTAGAGTGTGGGCCTCAGAGAGTTGTTAGAGCACAAGATCCGCTATATTAAAGCATTTAGCAATGTTGGCTTCATTGTATTAAAGGGCCTTAGATGCTCTTTAAAATTTAAAGGTCATATGCATAAATAACTTAAATAAATATTTAAAATATTTTAAAAATCAATATACATTGGAATACTGTGGAGCAGTTGGAAAGAATGAGAATGAAATAGATTATTACTAACATGACCACTGTAGATCCTTGACTGAGAAAGCTAACTGAGCAATGATACACAGAAGAAGAGAACACTCATGGGAGAAGGTGCATTTTCCTATAAAGATGCGTGTAAGGATGTGCACAGAGAGGGAGGTGCTGAAGGAAGCTGAGCCAGCCCAGCCCAGCCCCTCCTCTCCAGGACTCGGGCAGTGAGGAGGTGAATAAAGAGAACTTTAGTCTTAAATACAATTTTTCAACTTTTTTACCTTTTATACGTTTTTTTTTTACCTTTTATAACTGCCATCTAGTCAGTTCAGACTCATAGCAACCCTGTAGAGGGTTTTCAAGGGGTGGCTGGAGGGTTGGGACTGCTGACCTTGCAGTTCGCAGTCCGGTGCTTATCCTACAGTGCCACACCAGAACTTCTTTTATAGATGAACATATTAATAATTACTTGTGCTATTAAAATTAATACCAATTTAAAGTAATTTAAAACAATAAGGTAGTTAAATTACTACTAAAATACAGTATTAAAATATTGTTGTTGTTAAGTTGCTATGTACTGTGAAGTCGATTCCGACTCATAGAGACCCTACATAGGGTTTCTGAGGCGGTAAACCTGTGCGGGAACACAAAGCCTCATCTTTCTCCCACGGAGTAGCTTAGTACTTAAAACTGTACTTTATTATTATCACTACTACAACTGAGAAACTGTCTCAGATGACAGGACACCTTCTGGACTGTAGTGAGATCGCTTTTCTAGATCCCGCGATAGGGATGTGGACCAGGCACCCCGCCCCCTCGGGTTGCAAGCCGCCCCTTGGGGCACCCCAGTGGTTGCTATCCGGCCGCCGCTCTCCATGGTACTGATGCCTTTGTCGCGCCTGCGACTTTATCACCTCAGAGCGAACAGAGGTGGCGCGCCCCCGCAGAAAACAGGCTGGGAGATTAGATAAGTATAATGGAAATCCCTCCCCAAGCCCAGCCCCAGCCTCACTGCAACCCATTTAGGGCGAGCTGGGATTGGGGCGGAACCCTTGCATGACGCAATGGGGTGGGGGTGGGGGGCACACACACAAACACACACACACACACACAAAACAGGAAATCCCTCCTCTTATTGGCTGTCAGGACAGGGCCCCGCCCTAGAGGCCTCACCCAACAGCCAGGAAGGAGGAGGCCTTGGGGGTCCACAGGCAGATGGTGGTGCATGCAGACAAAGAGGGCTCCAGGAAAGGGGTCCCCGCGGACAACAAACAGAAGTGGGAACTATTGGGTGAGGTTAGGGGTCCCCAGATTCATTGCCTCTATTACTCTATTATAAGGATGGGTTAGCCTTCTCTTCCACTTTGTCCATACAGACCTAGACTCAAATATCTGTTCTTTCCCTACTCGTGGTGTGACTCCATTCTGGATTAAGCCTGTCATTATAATTGATAACAATCTTCATTTACTGGGAGTTGGGCTCTGTGCCCCTGGGAGTTAGGCACCAGCCATCCCCTTTAATAAATTATGCATGTTATCACTCAGTGGAAACTGGCTCTCTCCTGGTCCTTGCTCCCACCCCTGGCCAGACCCACATCACCATCACCTTCATGCACTGGTAGTTACCAAGGTAGGGTGGGCAGGTAAACAGCTCCTTGCTCATCCCACCAGCTACAATGGTGATGGGCCTGGAAAAGTTAGTTCTTGTGGGTTCAGTGCATCAACACCAGGGACAACACTCCCAAGTGGACACCGTCCAAGAAACTTTCTGTCCCCAGAGGCAGATGCTCAGCCCCTTCCTCACTCAAGTCTGTGAGTACTTTCTTTCTTTGGTCTATGGGACCTTCTGGGGAGGGGAAACTGGAGGGAACCCCACTAAACTGTGAATCACTGGTGAACAAGAGAGAAATGTAACTATTTTTTCCAAAATTCACCTCTCTAATGTTTGAATTGTTAAAAAGGATATTAATTTAGCAAACACAAATTTCAAGAGAAAAAATAAGGAAATAGTAGTAGGTAAAGTCCAGAGTCAATGCTGAGAATCAGAAACAATACTGTCCTTGCCCTGTGTCCATCAGCTTCAGGAACCGGTGTCCTGGCTCCTAGCCATGGCTTTACCTTGCTTGGTGGCCTGGGAGTCCAAGGGCTTGGGCTAGCCATGGGAGGGGTGGTGGGGAAACGTAGAACTGAATTATCCTTACCCAGGCCCCTGGGCCACCTGCCCTCCCTGCTCCCTCCCCAGTGACCCCTGAACTGCCTAGGAGCAGATGTTCAGGGCAGGCCTGGCCCCTAGACTACATTAATGAACCCTCAGTCCCAGAGACCTGGCCAGAGCAGCTGTCTTCAGCTGATTTGATTTGAGGTTCCCTCCCTCCACCTCCCCTCCCTCAGCCCTCCTCCTTGGGAAGGCACAGCTGTCCTCTCTGGTAATTAGGGAGTCTCCCCACCGTCAGAGGCACCTCCACCCAAGAGTCAAACTTGCAATTTACACATCAGCCACGTGGCTACTCCCTCCCCCTTGTTGTAATTAGCTTTTTTTTTTTTTTTTTTGTTCTTGCCTGGTTCCCATGGCAACAGCCTCCGGGTGGCTTTCCTTGGCCCTTTCCCCTCCAGGACCTGTCTCCTCCCACCTCCTCCTGGGAGCCACTAGGCACCATCCAGAAACAGGGCGCTAGATCCCACCCTGTATTGTTTCCAGGAAAGACCCAGGTGGCAGCAGGCCCCACCAGCCATGGCACCTCGTCAGGGCCAATAACAACTGTCTTCCACCTACTGTGTGACCTTGGGTCTCCTAGACCTGGGTCTGTGACATCTGCTTCATGCGGTTGGTTAAAAAGTCACCTCCTGAGGCTTCCCAGGATACAGCTTCAACAGCCCTTCCTGCCTCAGCCCTCTCATCTGTGAGATGGGACAATAGTGGGGGTCTGACTCCTTATGGCTTGGGCTTTGTTCCCAGATCCAAGACTTGGGGAGGCTTCTCCTCCCATCCCCCCTATGCCCGGGGGAGCTGCGCCATGGGGAGAGCAGAATCCTGTGTCAAGGTTACCCACTTGACACAACTCTCCCCCCCCCCCCCCCCCCCACACACACAACAAAAGAACAGGATGAGGCAGGACACCACGGGGAACTCGGAAAGCTAATGGGAGCGAGAGGGTGGCTCTGGCCGCTTTGAGGATATGCTGCTTCTCAGGGGGGAAAGGAGGGGATCGTTATGGCTTTGGAAGGGGCGGCCCCACCCAAAACCTGCCCAGCCCCTCCATCTCGCTGACGGCTGAGTGTGGGTCCCAAAGAGGGCCACACCCAGGCCGAGGGGCTACGGTCGCCTGCCCCGGGCCCGCAGACGCACAGCCGACGGAGGAGGGCACAGGGGTGGATGGAGCTACAGTTCAGTTGTCGACGAGCGCCCGCTCGGACATGCCTGAGGTAACCTGGGCAGGGGCGGAAGAGTCGGAGGTGAGGAGGCGCCCGGTTTGGGGCTGAGCTCATCCCTTTGTTCCCGGTTTGGCAGTCAGGGTGCGGTTTGAGGGAGGCCCCCAGTGCCCGGCGCCCCTCGGGCCGACTCCCGCGGGAACACGGACAGGGGAGGGGCGCGCAGTCTCACCTTGGCCCCGATCTGGTTACCGCATTGGCCAGCCTGAATGTGCACAATCTCCCTCATCTCGGCGCTGACGGATACAACACAGAGCGGACCCGGCTGGCTGCGGAGGGCCGGCGGCGCCCGCTCGGGTACTCTTATACACTGGGCCCCGCCCGGCCTCTGGCGTCAGCACCGAGCGGCCAATTGCGCACCTCCGCGCACTGCGGCACCGGCTCCGCAGCATCAGCACCACGCAGCGACAGGTCTCCGCGCACAATGCGGCGGGCGCGGCACCTCCTCGACAGCCCAGCAAGTCTGAGCCGAACCGGGCCAGCCCCTCGGGGTTTGGGCTGCGCTCCTGTCAGAAGGGTGACTCCCCGACTATCTGGCCACAGGGCCAGAGGGGTCCAGGGAGGACAATAGAGACCCTCGGATCCCGCCCCATCTCGGAGGCGGGGCGAGAGCCAGGAGCTGTTCATATTTGTTCTGTCGCCACCACCCTGAGCAGCCCCACCCCACGGCCTTGTAAGGAGGGCCTTTCTTTCTCGCGGTCCCCGGCGTGGCGGAGCGGACAAGGTGCTTAGGATGCTTGGAAACGCCACCCCAGCCTCCCAGCATAGTCCTGGCCACTGGTGTCTGGAATTAGCACAAGGTCGCACAAGTTTGTGAATGTGCCATTGAGGGGCTGAGCTGGGCGGGTAGGGGGTGAGGACTGACTCCTTTGATGTCACCTGTACCTACGGGCTGGGGCTGGGTAATAGTGAGGAGCAGGAGGTGGGGGCTGCACTAGCTGGGCACCACCTCTGCAGAGTGATTATATGCATGGAGTGGGGCCTTGGAGGACAAGTGACCAGTTTTCCAGAGGGAGAGGGAAGCAAGAAGGTGATATATATCACACACCACAGACACAGACAGACAGACAGACACACTGCTGGCTACTCCTGCTAGCTCAGTAACAAAGCCCTTCAGTAAGAGTCTCGCTCCACAGTGGGATGATTCAGACAAGCCACACCATCTCAGGCAGCCAGCCTTCCATTTCATAGACACAAGAGTGTGTCTGAGTGGGTGTGGCTGTGTCCGCCCCCTTCTCTTCTCTCTCAAGAAAACCAGTTCTTTTGTTCTCAAGAGACGCCCCCTCCCCCACAATGCATCCTTGAAGTGGCTTTCTGTGGTTTACTCCCTGCTCCCGGTTCCGGGATCCCTCCCTGTCCCTATCAGGGGCTCCTTGGCAGGCAGTTGGCTCTTCCCTGGAGCCAGAAGCAGTTGCCTCCTTGTCTGAGGCGGGGAGGAAGCTCTGCAGTGTCATCATCCTGCCTCCCTGCTCATGGCTCATGGCCAGACCAACTCCCATCTGTCCCCAGAGGGCTCTGGTGCCAGCTCGACCCTGACGCACAGTCCTGCTTCCTTGCAAAGGCTAGTCCTGCCAGGAAGGGAAGCAACTTCCAGCCTCACCAGGAGTCAGCAGTCGGACTGGTAGGTGGGGAATGGAGACTCTGGAAGAGCCTGATACAATCAGCCCATCCTCTCTGAGCTCCTTACCAGGAAGGGCAACAGTTGTTGGGCAGAATGGCTGTGGGGAGGCCGTGGTGAGCTCCTGAGCCAGGAGAGGCCAGTGCAGACTGCGGAGCCCACTCCCTGTCACCAACTTCCCTTGGATTTGGAAAACCATCTAGCCTTTGCAGGCCTGCAGCAGCCAATCAGCCAATGGCTTCAATTCCTCATTGAGGTCCTGCCTCAAATTCCTCCAAATGGGGCCACCTTGGAGTACACACTGTATTATCAGAGCCCGAGAAGCTACAGACGGAATGCAGGGATGCCAAGAAGGGACCGTAGCTGGGGGTCTTCATTTCTGCCCCAATGGAGTGCTCCACTGAGAGCAAAGAGATTTGGGACTCCAAGGGGGAGACTTAGGGTCTCCATGCTCCCCTCTCGAGAGGCCCCTCCCAGGGCACTCAGGTCCTCAGGCTGTGGATTGGCCTGGGTGATCTCGGAGACTCACTTTTTCCTCTGTCCTTCATCCTGGCTCCCTCTTCCCTCCGTATCCCTCCCCTCAAACTTCCAGGAGGTTGGCACCAGCTTTAGTACCAGACCTCTCCCACCTGAGCATGTGTCCAGCATGCTGGGCACCAGTCACTTTAGCCTGTCTGGCCGAGGTGAGGTACTGTATTATCTGTCTGGCCACCAATGAGCCCTAGAAATGGTTCTTAGAAGGCATCACTGCCTCTTCAAATGAGACAGATCTTAGTTCACCAGGCAGCCACTGTGGGGTGCGTATTTCTGCTGGTCACAGTCCTTCTGAGGCTGAGAGTGGACACTCCTCCAGGGTCTTTTGCCTTTCTTCCCACCATGATGTCATGGCTCAGGTGACAGGAGCACATGAAGGTCCGTCCAGGCATAGGCAGCAGAGGTGGGAACGCAGCTTTGGGTGAACAGGAGTCCTGGGCCTCCCCCAAGATGCTTCCATCCTTACCACCTCCTCCAGAGTCTGTTCCCCGTTTGGAGATTGCTTAGCTGGTACTGTGACCTACAACAGAAAGGACGCCCTCTGCCGCTTGCTCTACCAGGAGCACTTCAGCGCCTCCTTGAGTGTCTTTTGGAGCTCCTGGCTACGGAAGGCGTAGATAAGGGGGTCCACAATGGAGTTGCAGATGATGAGGGTGAGGAAGAGGTTGAAGTTCTTGAAGACACAGCTGCAGGTGGGGTGCTGGGGGCAGAGGACAATGAGCATGAGGTGCAGGAAGAAGGGGCCCCAGCAGAGAAAGCAGCAGCCCAGCATGATGGAGAGCATGGCGGCACCCTTGAGGCCAAGGCCCTGGCGGACTGGGCACCACTGCTTGTGTAGTCGGGCAATGCCTCGGGCGTGGTGGCAGGCCCGGACCAGCATGTGCACGTACAGCACAGCCATCAGTATCAGCAGGGCCAGGAAGAAGCTGACTAGACAGAGCAGCATGGCCATGTGGTCCTCATAGGTGACGAAGAGGATGCTGCAGAGCAGGCTGGCTGCCCAGATGGTGGCAATGGCCCAACGCGCCCGGACCAGCGTCACGATGCTGTGGTAGCGCATTGCATAGAAGATAGTGATGTAGCGGTCCACCGCAATGGCTCCGAGAAAGCAGAGGCTGGACACCATGGAGCCACAGATGAGCACATCAAGGGCGTTATCCAGCTGTTGCATCACGTCCGCCCGCATGGCCAGTGTGCCTGCCTCCAGCAGCAGTGTGATGACCATGTCCAGCACATTGCTCATGCTCAGCAGCAGGTCAGACATGGCCAGGCAGCAGATGAAGTGGTACATGGGTGAGTGCAGGTTTGGGTTCTTGGCAATGCCAACCACCACCAGCATGTTCCCCACCAGGCTTACCAGCCCGAGAGAGAGGAACAGTCCATCGGGGACGGCCACCTCCAAGCACCAGGGGCCTGTCTGGTTGGCAGGCAGCTCCGAGTGGGGGGTGGCAGGGGGCGTGGTGTTGAAGGACCCCCACAGCCTTCCCCGGACTCCCTGCATGGACATAGCCCCCAGTTGCGCAGGAAGGAGCCCAAATAGCAGCCTGGCCTGGTCTGTAGGTTCCAGCACCCTGGTCAGTGCAGGGAGCCCATAAGGATTTGTGGGGTTGTCCTCACACTTACTTCTCCTGAGAGCAGTCCCTGTTACAGGTGGTCTGGGCTCTCAGAATCCTCTGGGTCTTCAGTCCACCATTCCACCTCTGCCCTCAGGACATGACTGCTCAGGGGGGCATGGTCACAGGGCCACCGGCTCTCATTGCCTTACCTTTGAGATTTTGCAAAGTCCAGCTCTTCAGCTGCCTCAGCCTCTTAATTCCCAGGACCAGGGCAGGGTGAGGTCTGGGAAGAATGGGGTCTTTCTCCAACCTCTTTAAAGGAGTGCACAGGCCCCTCCCCAAGGGCAGCCACATGACAGTTAAAGCCTAGGACATGGAGGGAGGCGCCCAGTTCCTTGCCACGCCCCTCTCCTGTCCTGTTACCCCTGTAAGTCTGGTCTTCCCAGAGAAGAGCCCCGTGTCGTGTCTGCTCACACGGCACCTCCCACCCATGCATATATTCCTATCTGTGACATGTGCAGGTCTCTACCAGGGCCCCTCAAACATCATCAGTGCCAGCTGGACACCAAGCTGCTGAGATTCAAGGTAGACTGAGAGACAGACTGTTCAAAGTGCTGCCGAGTCAGTTCCTACACCTAGTGACCCTTATATAGGGTTTCTGATGAGTGACTGGTGAGTTTAAACCACCTGAGATTCCAAATGACCTTACAGTCCAGTGCTTATCCTACACACCACACCAGGACTCCTAGGGACAGACCAGGGAGTTAAATGTGCAGTCAGCTCTCACAATGAACTGTATAGGGTTTCCAAGGAATGGCTGATGAGTTTGAACGGCCAACCTTGCAATTGGCAGTCCATTGCCTACCCAACCTTGCAATTGGCAGTCCATTGCCTACCCAACAGTGCCACACCAGGATTTCACAATCTCAGAAACAAATGTACAGGTGTGTTGGGACTATGACCAGGGCAGAGGGCATCACGGAGCAAGTGAGCCCTGGGCCAGGGGCGCAGCAGTTCTGGGCCAGGGGCTTGCTGTGTCTTGGGAACCTAGGGCCCACAACCCTCTGTGAAGTCCACCAGGATCCGCTAGCCACATCCGCTGGAGGAGGGGTGCATTGGCCCTCTCCCACCACGCTGCCATTTCCTCTGCCTTACACCGCAGGCCCTCGAGCCATGCACCACATCAAGGGCAGACTCCTTGTCTCTAGTGCAGTCGACTGCAAGCCATTCATGGTGGTCGGGACATGAGGCTGGGATGAGGGTGGGTCTCCCAAGCCAGATTTGCTGAAGTCTGCTCATGGGTGGGATGAGAGGCCATCCAACGGTTACCAGTGAGAACACAGGCAGGTGTTAAAGTCAGACTTTAGCCAGCAGTGGGGAGAGAACCAGGCCCAGGCTGAGGGGACAGTCCTTGTAACCTCCCTCCCACAACAGACCCATCAGGTGGCCAGTCAAGCCCAGGCCATGCAGACCCCACCACACTCAGATCCCAGCCCTCTGTGTGGACACACCCTAACACCCACTCAACTCCAAACCGAACCCACTGCCACCCAGTGATTCCCACTCACAGTGACCCCAGAGGGCACAGAACTGCTCACTAGGGTCCTAAAGACCATCAATCTTAACAGGGCCACACAGCAACATCTTTCTTCACTGAGCCAGTTGGTGGGTTTGAATCGTCAACCCTATGATTAGCAGTCCATTGCTTATCCTACAACACCAACTAACCCTAATTGTACCGAGCATTGTTGTCTGCCATGGAGTTGGCTCTGATAGTGGGCCCGTGTGACAGAGAACTGTCCCATATGGTCTTCTAGGGTGTAAACATTTACGAAACAATCTCCAGATCCCGCTCTCTCAAATCCCCTGGGTGGGCTCGAACTGCCAACCTTTCGGTTGGCAGCCAAACAGTTAACCATTAGGCGCTCCTAATGACATCTCATAAAACCGGAGCCAAACCCACAGCCACCCAGTCAATTCTGACTCAGTTAACCAAAGGACGAGTGGCACGGCTCCCTAGGGCTTCAGAGGTTGGAGTCTTTACGGGAGCAGACAGCCTTAGTTCCTCCCGCCCCTCAAGATAGTTGTTGAGCTATCGACCTTGGGGTTAGCGGCTCAATGTTTAAGCCACTCACCAGGACACCTTAGTCACCTCAGGGTCCCTTGCTGCCCCAGCTAGCTGCTACCTCGACCTCTATCCACTCTTTGTTGTTGTTAAGTGCCATGGACCATAGCAACCCTGCACAGGGTTTCCAAGGCTGTAAATCTTTACGGGAGCAGAATGCCTCATCTTTCTCCCGCGGAGCAGCTGGTAGTTTCAAATTGCTGACTTTGCGGTTCACAACCTGATTCGTAACCACTACGCTACCAGAGATCCTCTATCCACTCTTTAATGTCTTGTAAAACTTTGTATAATTGAAACCATGGAGTTATATCACTTGGTGGGGAAGAGCCTGGCTCCTCTTGCCCAGTATCGATACCACTGCCCCTTGGAGGAGCTCCAGCCCTTTGTTCGTCGACCTCACTTTCTGAATACATACTGCTACCAGTTCTAGTGGCTTTTGTCACGTGAGGCGCATTGTGGACAGTTGGGAGTGTAATTGTGCAGATCCTTCGCTTTAGGAGATTCAGCCAAAGCACTCACCAAACTGGAGACCCACCAATTTTTGGTCAGGTAACCCTCACGGTTCAGAGCAGGCCGTAAAGACTTCTGTGAAGCCCCAGCCACACCCCATCCCTATCCCTTTCCCAGTGATTCACCCATGGTCCCCATGATCACAGTGACAGCTGGGCGTGAAGCAGTCCTGAGCACAGGGTGTCCTAGTCCTCTGTCCACTGCACCAGGTCTCTGTGAGCTCTTGGGGAGGAAATGAGTGTCTTGGGGTGTGCAGGCCCTAAGCCCCAGTTTCCTGGCCCCGGGTAGCTTTGGGGGCCTGTCCTGTGTCTCCACCTCAGGGTGTTCTTTCCAACTGTGAATGAGGCCTTTGAGAGGTTGTTAAATCCACCATTATCTACCCAGCCAAGACTTCAGACGTGAGAATTAGACAACCTTTTGCAGAAAGCGTCCACAGCATTCTTCTTGGCATCAAAAGTGGGGTGACCCTGTCCTGGGGCTCCTGGGATGCACTGGCCGGCTTTGGTGTAGGGATGGCTGATGGGTACAGCCCAGCCGGGCAGTGTGTCTTATTTTGTCCTGAGCCAGGGGAGCTTCTGGCCTGGCCGAGCCTGTGTCAGAAGCGCTGTGCCCAGGGCAGAGGACTTGGATGCGGGCCTCTCTCACAGCTATTCCCGTCTACAGAAATCTTGAGTTCTCTCTGATCTTTGGAGGTGGGAATCCCACTGGTGGGCAGGCACACTGACCAGCCCACCTCACCATACCACGGAACACAACTGGTATGCTGGGGGCAGGACGGCAGGGTCCCACAACAGTTGGGAGGGCACAGCCAGTATGAGGCTCGGGCAGCTGATAGCCCAGTGTATACACCCCTCCACCTGGGTGAACCTGTGTTCCTCATGCCCAATCCCAGGAGCATTCTGAGGGAGGGTCCTGCAGCCCTGATGCTGACCACCAGCTCCCACCCAAATGGTGAGTGACAGACACAAGTGATCTCACAGCCTCCGTGAACCCGTCCGTGACTGCCAACACCTGTTCTGAACTTCTGACACCTTGGTTTAATGCTGGGGTACTTTGTGCTGAAAACCCAGACCTCACTTAGGGTCCTGAGCACAGTGGCAGTGGCCAGAGGCCAAAGCACTAGCTACTCCCCTGCTTCCAGGGGTGAAGCCCCTGAGGGCATTAGGCGAGGGCTCAGCTTGGGAAGGCCCAGTGCCTGAATCTTCCAGAACAGGCTGTGTCAACACCACAGGTGCTGAACTATTTGGCTGCAGTTTCCCAGCTGACATCCCCCCATCACTGGGTCAAGCGTCCTTCAATGCAATTTTCCAATAAAATGGTTTTGTCGGATTCTGTGTGTGTGATGCCCGAGCTCAGGGTGACCTAGGGCTGGCTGCAGCTCTGGGCCCTGCAGTGGTTCCCCATTTCAGGTTTATGGGGTAACTCACCCCCCAATGACCACCACCTGACATGCACACAGTGCTGGAAACCCTTCTCAACTCCCCTGTACTACACATACCAGAGCACGGGGGAGGGGGAGATGGAGTTACGGGGTACATGGGAGCAGGCAGTCTGTACCCTCAGACAGCCCCTCCCTCAGTGGCACCAAAACTAGTAAAGAAGAGGCGCTGCAAGACACAGCATGACCACCGACATTTATGGGACAGGAGACCACCGACATTCACAAGGGAGGATGACCGACAATCACAGGGATGGGAGACAACCGACATTTATGGGGCAGACCACCCAACAATCATGGTGGCGGGAGGAGCAGGACTTCCACTGCGGGGACTAGCTGACCAGTGAGAACACAAATCAGGGAGACAACTGCAAGGTGTAGGGATGTGGCTGTGTGTGCTCAGTCCCATTCCCCCTCCCCCTGGTCCTCGTCCTCCCCCTCCCCCTGGCCGAGGCCCTCGGGATTGTCCAGGTCCTCAGGATTCTCCCGGTGCAACAGGTCCAGGTCGTTGAACTGGAAGTTGGCCATCATTTCACGTACTGCTATCATCAGCCTGTTGAGGCCTTGGACTCGGTCCAGGCCATCAGCTATGCCTCCACCTTCTTCCTCCAGCTGCCCCTCCTGTAGTCTGTCCTCCTGAGATAATGACCGTTTCAGTGGACCACTGAGAGACCACATTCCATCGGAGCAGTCCCACCTCGGGCTCCCTTGTCCCAGTCTGACTCCCAGCAGGGACCCAACCATGTTGAGATGGGCCTACCTAGATACCAGTAACAGGGAGAGGGAGAGGCCAGAGAGGTGGGTGAAATGAGGCACACAGAACCTACCTCTGTGGTGTAATTTGGCAACAATGATCGGAAGAAAAGGGCCACTGTGTTCGCTTGGCCGACAGGAGTTTGCCTGGAAGACAATAATGTCCGGAACAATCAGAAGTCAGAAGTGAAACTGAACTCTGAGGATACCAGCCCAGCTCATGATTCCCTCATCTGTAGCATTTGCTCCTTGCCCCAGCAGGGATGGGAAAGGCAACCCGAAGCAGCAGGTAGGGCGAACTGAGCTGGGCCCCGGATTCCTGGAGTGGCACATCAGCACTGTGGGGTGGACGGTGAGGATTCCTGGTCAGTTCAAGGTTGGGCTGTGGTCCCAAGTATAACAAGGGAAAGAAGATACTACAAGAAAAGGGCCTCCAGAGTCAGGGGCTGACCCTTTAGAAGCTGGCTCACTTGTAACACCCAAGGGAAACCAACCATGGGCCAAGTGGACAGCAGAGCCCCTAACAGCTGAGGTGGACATCTCCACAGCACAGGTGACCCACTGTTAAGAAAAAGGTTATAGTTGTGTTTCTCTTTCTCTCTTACACACACAAAGTTGTTGTTGTTAAGTGAATTATTTAGGCTCCTGGTGACCTGAACATGAAGAAAACCCTATGTAACACATGGGCTCAGCTTGAGTCAGAACCAACGTTGCAACACCAGCCAACAACATGTACATTAAAAGCTAAAACCAAAATGGAAAGCTGGAGCTGCATTGCTTTCCTCAGTACTCAAAGTCACACAACACAGTGGTGACCCCTTCTGGTGAAGCAGGGGAACTGCAGCCCAGCTCTCCTTGACATCTGACAGCACCGGCTTGCCACAGACTGCAACTCACCATGACGTGTTGTTGTTGTTGTTGTTAAGTGCCATCGAGTCGGGTCCGACCCATAGCGACCCTGTACAGGGTTTCCAAGGGTGTAAATCTTTACGGGAGTAGAAAGCCTCATCTTTCTCCCACGGAGCGACTGGTAGTTTCGAACCGCTGACCTTAAGGTTCGCAGCCCGATTCGTAACCACTACACTACCAGAGCTCCTTCACCATGACGTGTATTCTAGAGTTTTCAGTGGTTGATTTTTTTCCCTGGAAATAGATTTCCAAGGCTTTTATTCTGAGGCATCTCTGGGTGGGCTCAATCCGCCAACCCTGGGGTCTGAAGCTGAACTGCCATCCATGGGTTCTACTGTACATGAAGTACTGTACATTGATTCTGACTCACAGCAACTCTTTCAGACAGAGTAGAACCACCCTAGAGCGTTTCCTCGGCTCTAATCTTTACAGAAGGAATCGCCTGAGTGCTTAATCATGGTGCCACCAGGGTTCCTTAAATACTTTATTAATCTATATGTAAGGAGCTCTAGGGATGGCGTGATCCGATGGTCTGCAAAACACTGGGAGAGAACATAACAAAGGTCTGAGCCAGCAAAGTCTCAGAACTCCTCCGTGGTGCTACAATGTCCACCTAGTCATGTTTAAAGGAAACAAACCAACCCCACTGGCCTTAATAATGAATCGTTTTCACCTTTTTTACTGAGGAATTCAACTTGAACTATTTATCCATGAACATGCAGCCAAGGCTTTACAACAGAATTCAGTGGACGAGCCTGGTCCCCTTCCTTCTCCTGGTGGGGGGGGGTGGGAAGACCCTCCTAAAATGCCTATCTGATCTCTTTGGTCTGTGTGTGGAGGAGAGCCCAAAACACTGACCTCAGAGCTACAGGAACAAGTAGAAGACGTACCTCTCAGGTCTGACGTAGGAGTAGATGGTGTCTGCAGGAGGCAGAGGATCAAAGCCCATCACAGACTGTGTGGTCACGTCCTTCAGGAAGGAACACAGAGAGAGTATCGCCAGGTGCCCCCAGGGGCTTCCCTGGAAGGCTTTCCCCCAGGCGGCAGCTTGGTTGGGAGATGACGGCAGAAATCTTTCAGAAATGGCTCCAAGTACGTGGAACTCTGGGTGGGGGCCGGCTCATCTTTGACGCAGATACCACACTCTACCAGACTCAAAAGAAAAAGGCCAAAAACAACAACAAACCCCCAGCCTAATCCCAATGAGCCTATCTGGCCTCACAGCAACCCTACAGACAGAGTAGAAGTGCCCCATAGGGTTTCTGAGGCTGTCATTTTGAGGGGAGCAGACTGCTACATCTTTCTCCATTGGAGTAGCTAGAGGATTCAAACTGCCGACCTTGACCTCTTGGTTAGCAGCTGAGTGCTTAAGCACTGCATCATCAGAGCGTCCCTGATAACATGCTCTGATATGCAGGTGGTGGGTCAGGACTGGTGCCCCAGGTGGTAGGGACCTTCCCAGGCTGGCCCACCCACTTGACTGCAGGCCTTAGTCCTTTGGAATAAGGAACCTGTAGCTCTCCTTCCTGGGTCTGAACCTGTCTCACGGGAGGTCAGCAGTGCTGCTTTGTGTCTAACAATACCTCAGGAGTCCCTGATGGAACTGCTACTCCTCCACCTCTCCTAACTTACCCCAAAGTTCTCTCTTATTTTCAAATGACAGCAATTTGTGTCGTCACAGTATGCGTGGTGCAAGTACAAGCAGGAAAGCCCCGAGCTGCAGGGAAGGCTGTGCCCTGCTGTCATGTGACCAGGTAGCACAGTCTGGGGTGAAGGGACCCAGGGATTCCTGGGAGTCCAGGCTGGCACTCAGCCTAAGAGAATGAGGACCCCTGCAGGACCCCAGCATCTAACCCTGGCATCCTGCAGCAGCCAGTGACGCAGCATCCTGGGGCTGGGAGGACATAACATGGTGTGACTGGCTCACACCAAGTCCATCTTCTATCCTGCCTTACCGGTGGCAGGGTGGCAATGGCCTCCTTGACTTCAGAGAGGACCACGTGGCGGTGGATGTTCCTGGGTGCACGCTGGTAGAGTACCCTCCGCCTACAGCCAAGAAGAACAAGGCATCAGCAAAGAAAGTGGAAGCCAAGGGGACCGAGAAGCACCCCCCACAGCTTGAGGCGGCAGGGGAGATGGGGAAAATCCTAGTTTTGTGACTTGTGACTTTGAGAACTGGCTCCCTGCCCGCTTGGCAGTGCCAGCTCCGTGTGAGACTTTGGTCTAGGCCCCCGCTGATGAAGGAGGCAGGGAAGAGCAGGGGACCACCACAATGGCAGCTGCTCAGTCCTGCAAAGAAGCTTCCAGATGCTCCTAAACCAGACTCATCATCAACACCGTACAGTGACACCTAGACCCCTTCCTTCCCACCACTTCAAGCCTGGTACAGGTGGCGAGGTCCTGAACCCTCATAGACATCTCTGTTGGCCAAGAACCCAAATGTCCCCGAGACATCACGATCAATGGAGTGCACACATAAGCCAAATGTCCCCGAGACATCACCGATCGATGGGGTGCACACATAACCCGATATGACTGGGGCATCCTTGCAGGGCCCCCAGTGTTCTTGTCTCCTCAGGTCCCAGTATTCCCACCTCCTGCCCAGCCGTCTGCACCAACCGGCTTTCGCAGGCTCCCACGGCTGGGTCCCCGGAGTCCACGGCCCGCACCACTTCACGGACATTCTCCTCCAGCCAGCCCATGATGGCAGCTTCTTTCCACAGGAAGTGCGACCTTCCGAGGTACAGGCTCACCAGCTGGCTCAGGGCAGGCGACTGACTACGGAGAGAAGCTCTGTGAGCTAGCAGGCCGTGGTCAGCTTCCTTACCCCAGTGCCCACCAGCCCTGGTGTCTAGCCCAAACCCCACCCCTGGAGCAACCCCGCTCCACAGGAGACGACACACAACCAGATGAAGGTTACTGGTGATGCCCGGCTGGCTACTGCGAGCCAGGCAGAGTGTCATGGGGAGCAGGAGTGATGGGAAAGCAGGGCTAACAGGGAGCTGGGTGTGGTGGGGTGAGGGGGGCGCCAAGGTCGGTGGGGGCAGCTGTGTGGCTACAAGCTGGGCAGTGAGCGGAGACAACGTGGGGGGGCGTGCACCTGCCATCTGGGTGGGAGCCGAGGCGTGTCCACAGACCACTCCTTTGGATTTCATTAGTACGTGATACAATTAAGTATGAAAAATGTTTCAGGAATAAATGGCACCTTTCTGCATTTCTTTTATCATAAAGGGCTTTCTTCCTGATTACCAGGCAGGAGGAAAAAGGAATGTTGTCATTTCCTTTCAAGTACATTTATTTTTTATGAGGTGTTTAAAAAAAACATTGTGACCATATAGAAATGCGTGACTCTGAGTACGCCAAGGTGCCAGGTCCCTACCCAGACGGGGAGTACCCGCCAAGTCTGGCCTGCCTGAAGACTCTCTCTAGTAGAGGCAGACCTGGGAGGTAGGACACCATAGTGCTGCGAGTCCCACAGGTCACGTGACTCCAAATCCCTTGTCAGCTTCTCATAAGATCACGACCTTCAACCTCTGGGGTGGCCATCCCCAGGGAGCGCTAGGTGGACCAGGCACCCCAATAGTGTGTCATGAGGCAGGGCCCCCCCTTCCAGACGAGTCCTGATCTATCAAGACAGCCCAAGAGTAAGAGTCCCCCAAAACGGGGACAGGATGCACACCCAGGTCTGTCCTCTACCTGATCTGGGCATTGGGTCCGAAGAAGTGGTGGCTGGCGATGGTGGAGTCGGGTCGCACGCTGCAATACTCCAGCAGGGGCATGAGGACTGTGGAGGAAGCAGAGAGGCGCACTGTAACCACACCCACAAGTGAAGGGACGCTCCAGCGACCTTGACCCCCAGGCAGACAGGAAGCAGCTTAGGAGGTTTCATCAAGGGGGGATTCTGGTGAACTGGGGGGTACCTGGATGGACCCTGAGGTCTCATTTCTGACCGACCCCGCCTCCCACATGGTGTGAGGTGAGGCAGGGGTTTCCTCACACCAGGTCCTAAAAGGCTCCTGCCTTGCCATCTGCTTCCCATTTCTTAACCTGTAATAGGGACTCCTGGGTTCTACACCCCAGGAATGTGCCAGGAAGGTGAGGATGGACCTTCCAGAGCAGAGCCGTCCACCCAGTAGCTGTGGCTTCCCGGCAGCTGGGTCGCCACAAGACTTCCCAGAAACGCTGGACACATCTCTGGCCACTCTAACTTCAGGGAGCTGAGACCCACGTGTGTCAGCCACAGGCAGTTGTGCCACGCAGCTGACGAATGCACACCCCGGGGGTACTGTCCTCTTGACACAATGGCCTTCAACTCCCACGCACGTGCATTCTCTGAGCCACGATCTGTGCACACAGGGTGGGTGGGTCAGGGCTGACCACACTTGCTGTCCTGGTAGGAGAGTGGTGATCTCTCCCAACACAATGGTTCTTACCTTGCTCAGACCACAAGCCCCTCAGGAAGTAACTAAAATGTTGCTCAAGGTCAACCCAGACCAATGACCCCCAGAGATGGCCAACACATGCTGCTCATCTGTGAGGTCCCAGCGAAACAATCCTGTCCCAAGCACTTGGATTCCAGTGGAACGCCTGGCCTGTGAGGACAAGGGTGCACACTGCTCCCCACCTGCTGTACTGCTAAGTCATTCCTATCTTCCTATTCAGATGAGACACGTTTTCCAATAAGTTATTTTCACCAAAAATGTATCCTAAGTTCCTAAAGCAACTCAGGTAAAGTTAGTGCTGGCTCATATCTCCCACCTTCGAGGGGCCAGTCATCTGTCCACAATAGGGAAGTAGGGTGCAAGCATCTCTGTGTACACACACCCCTGCCTAGGGAGCTCAGCACCCACCTCCAGGGAACATGGTGAGCGCCTGCCGGATCAGGAAGGAGGCCTTCTCCCTGGCAGAGCTGAGCTCATGCTGCGGGCGGTTGATTTGCTGACTCAATAGGAAGTATGCCAATGGCACGGAGAAGGCAAAATTTGGGAGCTGGGACAGATTACGATGCGCCTATGAGAGGAGAAAGGAGGTTTGGGTAAAAAGCAGACACACGGGACTCAGGTGTGCCTTCATGTTCCCAAGAGCCTCCACACCCATGTTCTCATCACACATCACTGATGGCATTTCCTCCTTCAATGAGACTTCTCGGAGTGGGGTTCTGTACGCCCAGGAACTGTCATGAATGCAGCCCGTAACATTCAGACCAGCCGTTACAGAACTCAAGCCGCTCCATGTGTTTACATCTCAGTTACCCAGCGAGGACGCAAGCTTGGACATTCATGCACAAAGAGTACAGAAGGGTCACCTCTCTAGCCCCCCTGAAGCTGGAGGGTCTGCTGTCCTTCCAGGTAAGCACTACCACACAGAGACACCACCCGGCCATGTTAGAGAGTAAGGCTAATGCCTCCACATTTCACTCAACGTGCCATCAGTATCAGGTTACTGCGCTAGTCCATGCTCAGTCTGCAGTCTGATGTCCAGTCTGCAGAGTGTGGTCCAGAAAACTCGGGCCACGCTGGCACATAAGCATGCAAACAGGGCTGCGAGTGCACAGTACTGTGCTTGGGTCACCAATCCCTGACCCACAGTGTGGCAGACACAGCAGTCACCACACTCAGGGGTTAGATTCCTGCTATGGTGGTCTCTGCACACCTATCTCGATGTGTGGGGGCTTTCAGGGTGGATCCCTGCACACAGGCCACAATATGGATAACTGACCATTCAGAGCCCTGGGGTCAGCCTTGCCCCCTTTCAGAGTCCCTGCATGTGCGCAGGGCACCAAGCCAAGAGAGAGCAAGGCAGGCACACCTACCTCCCATTCCTGGAAGAGGCAGATCAGATACTCGTAGTTGCGGGCCCGCAGAGCCAGGTGATCCACCATCAGCAGCATGCACAGGGGGTCTTCGTCCGGCTCCAGGCTTTGGGGCAGAGGAAGGTGTCATGGCGCTGTTGCAGGGTGGAAGGGGGCGTGCACGGGGTGGGCACTCACCTCAGGATGAGCTTGCAGTACTCCAAGGCTGTGCGTGGGCAGCCTCTCTTTTCCAGGAAGGTCATCTGCTTGTACAGCGCCAGGTAGAAGCTCCTAGACCCAAGACAATGCCAATGTCATCATGGCCCCTACTCTGCAGTCCTGTGGGCTGGCGCGTGGTACTTGTGTGTGTTGGCGGGAGGGAGAGTCCATGGCTGTTTATGGAGATGTGTTCTCTCCGTCCTGAACACCACTGTTACGTATCATTTATGGGGAGAGTGCGAAGCGCGTACTATGACTATGGCTCCGACCTACCCTGAGCTGTCAGTCGTACAGCTGATCACAAGTCTGTGACTCCAACATCCTGGGACATAGTTCACGGTCCCTTTAATGCCAGGACATGCTAACATGGACATTGAATAACGTCCTCAACTATGAATCCAGCAGAGAAAGTGAAAATACAACACATGGTGCTGGATGCCACGGGGTAGAGTGGGGGTGAGGTGTTTAGTGGGGGACTGTGCAAGCACAGAAGATAAACAAGGACTGGGTTCAGCCTGTGACAGAGACTAGAACCCACAACATGAGAGACAACAGAGTGTGGGCAGTGGGCAGCTATGAATGGACATGAGGGCCAGGACTTGGTAGGGTTTGTCTATCCTGAGTGATCTCAGAAATGCAGACCTGATACTGACTCCCTCCCACACGTTCCTCCCCCCATTACAGGTGGTACCTGCATCACAGGATTCGGTTTGTTAAGCCTCCCTCCAAATACAACACACTTAATTCTAGGTTGGAGTCCTGGAGTGGCGCTTTAGGGTAAGCACTGGACCAAACGGTCAGTTTGAACCACAAAGCTGGAGGTTCAAACTCATCAGCCACTGCTCAGAAACCTCTACAGGGTCACTGAGTCAGAACTAACTGAATGGCACCTAACTACAATTCTAGGCCAACCCAAGGGCCCTCGTCCCCCCACTCGCTCTCCTGCCAGAGCACGCTTGCTGAATAGCTCCCTCTGCCGTATGACTGGGGGAATGATGTGATTCTTGGGGCACCCACTCACCTGTTCTCAGGTCTGCGGTAATCCAGCCGGCAGGTCCCGCTGGTGAGGCTGAAGAGGGGGTGGAAGGCATACTCCATGCTGTACAGTGCCCTCTCTGTGGACAGAGATCAGGCTCACCACAGTGTCCACGCCACCACCCTCAAAGGGCACCCTGTCTCGGCGCAGTCTGTCTACATGTATGTCGACAGGTATGTGAAGTGTGGCTTCACCCAAAGTAATGACATACGACCGTAGATGTGCACACACGTGCTCACCCCTCCTGCACTGTCAGAACCCAGTGTCCACCCATATGAGGGTCAGCCACAGTGATGCTACAACATGGATGAGCCTTGGGCACAGTATACTCCATGAGGGAAGCCAGATACACATTAGGGTTAGCCATCTGTCGTCAGGTGCTGTGAGGTCAGCTTCGACACACTGCCAGGTCCTTGGCTGTTACTATGCCGCAGTGCTATGTGCTGGACGCAGGCATGTCTGCTAGTGGAGTGGGATTTGATGGCGGTGACACGTCAATCATCACAGCTCAGTGGAGCTGGCTGACCCTTCTGTATCCCCCCACATCATTGTAGGTCCTCAGCTCCTGCCAGCCACGACAGTCCAGCCCTGGGCACATTCACCTATAAGGTCTCGGGCCATCTCCTGGTCCTCTTGAAGCCGACAGGCATCGCTGAGCTGCAGGAGTGAGTCGACGTGGTAGGGAGTCGTCTGGAGCAGGACCTGCCGGGAAGGAGGGAGCTGGCGAAGAGGCCCCAGGGTGCGATGCCCAGGGAGGCAGCAAAACAGGGTGCAACACGCTGGCTACCAATACCAACTTGGTTCACACGGGAATTCAGATTTCAGTATTCCCAGGCCCCTAAACGGAAAGCCTAGTACTATTGTAGCCCGTCTTGCACCTCAAAGGGGAGGATCTGAAATGGCAGTTTCCCACCCGGTCTGTAACATAAGGCATGGCCACCGTCCCAGAGGTCCTCAAGGAGAGGACGTGGGCTGAGGGCTCAATGTACGCTGTAGGCAGGCCTACGACAGCAAAGGTTCGTTATACAGAGTGAAGTGGGTCTCCCTACATACACAGTGGCTGGGCCTGGCTGGGCGAGCAACGTACCACGATGTTGTTGGGCTCCATCGACTCCACAGCCATCAGGAACCTGTGCTGCACCTGCTGATACTCCTCGCTGTGCTCAAAAGCAAACGTGGAGCCTCCTTTCTTCGTCTCCAGCAGCCGCATCGAAAGTCCTGGGGGGAGCGCAGGGTCCGGTGAGTGGGAACAAACCTCCCTCAGGACATGGCCAGCACACCTGTCTGCTCCTGTAATGCCGGCTCCGAGCATTGCTGGCCGTGCATGCCCCAGGAACCAGTCTGCCTGAAGGGCCTGGCCAACTTAGGGTACTGGAGGGGAGGGGGCCCAGTCCACACTAGACTGGAGCTATCTCCTCACCACCCACTTGGGGGCTGGGGTCCAGTGTCTTTTAAATGTCCCAGCCCCTCCAGTCTTAGGGGCGCTCAGGAGGGGTCATCTGGAAGGACAAATTGGGCATTCCTGATGATGAGGTTGGGTGGCACCTTCCCAATCATGAACATGGACAGGGTGTGGGAACACCAACAATATCCTCTCTCGATAGCCTGCCTGCTCCTTCCCACATGGCATCACTGCCCTGTCTTCCTGCCACCCCTCAGCCTATGTACACCCCTTCCCCAAGGCCACCAGGGAACTAAATGTGGAGGCCAGTATTCCAGAAGGTTTTTTAGGCCACACACACCAGCATCCAATGGACTGGGCTTTCCACCTGCCCACACCTCTGCTGTCTCTTACTGTGTTAAATACAAAGCACGGTGCTTTAAAACTTCTCCTGACTGCTCCCTACAGAACAGACTCTCTAAACCAGAAGTACCCAGGTTACGAATTTCCGACTTACATACACGACTGACTAGACAGACTTAGGAACAGACTGTTCATAACTCGGGGACTGCATGTATAACAAGAAGACAAGGACCACGTTTGAAGGACCTCTGTCCCCAGGACATCAGGGACTCCTGCCTCAAAACAGTAAGAATCCCAGTTAGCACGGATGTTGCACAACCTGGGCCCGCAGCCCTCACCTGGTTTGGAGTACCGAGGCCAGGTGCTCTTGGGGTTCGTCAGCCACATGGACTTGGGATACATGCGCTGTCTTTGGCGAGGCCTGGGGGAGACATGTGCCGACGTCACCTTCCAAGGTGCCTGCAGTAGCGGGAAAAGCCGGACAGAAGAACAGGGACAGCAGAAGGCCCTGGACTGGCCCACAGCAAGGCAACCTGGAGTGCAAGGACAGCCCTGAAGAAAGAGGATGCCACTGTGGCGGAGCTGTAAGAAAGTTCTAAAGAGCTAAGTCACCAGAGAGAGCAGAAAAGACAAGCAGGAAGGAGAGAAAATTTAGAGCTACAAAGATGACCATCGTAAGCCAAGCCCACCACATGCCCATGAAACTGCGGCCAGGGTGGGAGGTAGCTTGTAGGCAGGTCTCCCCTCCCATAAAGGACAGGACAAGGAAGAGACAAAGTACACCAGGCCACAGGCACGTTTCCGGCCACTGGGCAGGGCTGTGGGGACAGCCTGGCCAGAACCCACAGGGTATGGCAGAAGGAACAATTCTGGGAAACTGTTGGGAGAAGAAGGGGCAGAAGCTTAGAGCCACACTGGACAGCATGTAAGGAACACAGGGCATGTGGCCACAGCCCCAACGTGTTCCCAAAGATGCAGCAGGGATGGGGTGGGGGACACAGGGGCGACCATTTCATCTCAGAATCAGGCGCAGCAGTGGACAAGGACCAAAGCCCCTGATGTGAGTTAAATCTCAAACACGAGTCCACAGGACAGAGCAGTGCACACTTCCTTTGAGCATTTCAGAAAACCACTAAAAGACACAACACGGAAACCTCACCAGCCACGGTCTCAGGACCTAAAAACAGAGAAGCACGACGGCAGGGTGGCTTTTCAGTTGAATCTTTAAAGACACAAATACAATAAGTACAACCATAACGTCAAAACAACACAATTAATTAACCAGTAACTACAATTTGAACAAAATTAAGACCAGGCAAAACTGTAGCGGGATGGGCAGAGAGAGACTCAGCCAGTGTGATACAGAGACACCTGGATGAACAAGCCACAGCGACAGGAGGCAGAGAAGAATACGCTAACTTAAAAATGCTTCTCATCCAAATTCCAAAGAGAAGACACACAAGTTAGAAATCCTTGCGTGATGATTTAGTACTCAGAATGAAAAACAAAAATTATTAGAAAGTATGAACGAATAACATGAAAAATTATCGACTTTGCCAGTAATCAAAGAACCAACAGTCACAACGAGAAGACATTGTCCATCTACAGATGACACCGTCACAGCAACAATTTTTAGGACCAAGTTCAGAACTACTGCGTCACCTGTCACATGAGGCGTGGGCTCGGGTTTGGAGGGCAGTGCAGAGATTTCACCAGCAGGGGCTACACACATGCAGGATTTTAGGGCACTGTGTGAGACAGTGGAGAACCCTGGAAACCACCTCACACGGACCCCTGGGCATGGGAGTTTCAATTACCCATGTGCAGCCAGGGTTACAGGCCCTCAGGACTGCTTCCGGTCACATCAGACAGCCATGCAGTGCGCACACACTGCTCCCGGGACAAGCACAGCCTTCCCGGGCTTCTCTTGGAAGGAGAACCAAGTGAAGGAGGCATATCTGAATTGCCTTATTTTGTTATAAGGAGACCTTAAAAAGTCAAAGCTCCCCAAGTCAGAGTTGGGACCCATCCCCAACAGCAAGCCTAGGAAAGGGGTCCTCAGCGTCCACCTTTCATCATCACAGATGGGCACTAGGGCACTACTAACATAGGGCAGACATCTCAGAACCCAAACTTCACATTAGCTCTGCTGTTATTTGAGAGTAAAAACGAACCTGGCTCAAATCAAAGTTGAAGGCTTTTTAAAAATCTTTCTAGAAACATGCCGAGAGAAGGCCACACCCAAGCACTTCCTCATCTGACTTCCATAGTCAGGGCTCTGCCTTCTCAACATGACTTCACATGCTGTCCCCAAAGTAGCTCCGGGTACCTCCACAAGCAGATGCTGACATACAGCACCAGCTGGCTCCAGGATGCTCCCTCCCTCGTCTTTTTCCCCCTAAATTCTATTTTGTTGTTGTTGAGAACATACACACAGGCTCTACACTCTCAGCCCCTTTTCCTGAGTCCTTCCTCCCACACTAACATGAACTCACTGTCCCCAGCTCACTGTCCTTTGAAATCTCAGGAGTTCCTTTGTCAATTTGATGCCACAGTAATCTGACAAGAGCATAATGCTCAAGACAGACTTGTTTTCACTATCTACTTAAACTATCTGTTCGGTTTGGAGATGACTTCAGGGGATGTTTCTGGTTTAAAGTTTAGAGTCCATGAGAACTTGAAATTCTGTTCTGGTCTCCCCTCTTCTGATAAGCATTCTCCTATGAAATCTTTGATCAAACTGATAAGTGCGCACCATCCAGTTCTTCTGGTCTGCTGGCAAAGAACAGAGCTATTCCTGGACCTTCCTTATCTTTAATCACAAACAAGTTGAGACCATCTGGAAACTCAGCTCAGCACAGAGCTTACCTCTGTTCTCCCAGGATGGCCCGAGCACCAAAGTACCTCTTCAATTCTGTGTCTGGATTCAAGTGTCTAGAGGAACAGATGTTTGAGAAAGAAAGATGTCATCAAGTTCTTGTACATTGATTCTGGGAATTTTAGAAAGTTACATAAAATCCAGCAGGGAAAAAAAACCCAAGCTCATTGCTTAGCCCCCATGTCAGCAACCCTAAGTTGCCTCCAGGACACAAAAGGCACCTCCCCACCCCACCATCATCACAGTGGGAGTGTCCACTCAGTGCCCTGCTGCTTGTCTGTACCACAAGGGGATGTGGAACAGACATTGTGTGTCAGATAGCACAAATGCCACTACATACAAAGAAAACTCTCTGTGAGCAAACTTCGGTGGTGGGAACACTAGTGCGCCAGTGTCGTGGAGTCAGCTCCGACTCTGGGCAACCCCAAGTGCCAGAGTCCAACTGTCCCCACAGGGTTTTCAATGGCTGTTGTTTGGAAGAACACTGCAGGACTTCATTCTGAGGACTTGAACCTCTAATCTTTCAGAGTAATGTATTGTATCCCAGTGGCTTGAGTGTTACCGTGATGCTGAAAGCTCTACCACCAGTATTCTGAATGCCAGGAGGGTCACCCATAGCAGACGGGTTTCAGCTGGGCTCCCCGACTAAGACAGATTCGGATTCGGAAGGAGAGGCGGATTACTTCTGTACATTTAACTACTGAAAACCTTATGAACAGCAGTGAACCACTGTCAGCACCAGAATACTGTCAGATACAGAGCCAGAAGTTGAGTCCCTCAAGTTTGACGATACTCAAAATACAACTGGGGAAGAGCTGCCTCCTCAAAGGACCCTTCATCTGCTGAAGGGACACAACTCTAAATGAGGACAAACAGCTGCATCTATCCTTTAATAATTGGAACATGGAATGTATGAAGTATAAATCTAGGAAAACTGGAAGTTGTCAAAAATGAAATGCACACATAAACATCGATATCCTAGGCATTAGTGAGTTGAAATGGACTGGTATTGACCATTTTGAATCTAATAATTACATGGTTGACGAAGCCAGAAATGACAAATTAAAGAGAAACAGTGTCGCACTCATCATCAGAAAGAACGTATCAAGAACTATCATGAAGCACAATGCTGTCTGTGATAGGATCGTATCCATACATCTACAAGGAAAACCAGTTCATACAACTATTATTCAAATGTATGCACCAACCACTAAAACCTGTGATGATGACGCTGAAGAATACTACCAACGTCTTAAATCTGAACGTTATCAAACATTCAGTGAAGACGTATTGATCATTATGGGTGATTGGAATGCAAAGGCTGGAAGCAAAGAAGAAGGATGAGTAGTTAGTTAGAAACTAAGACCTTGGTGACAGAAATGATGCTGGAGATGGCATGATAGGGTTTTGTAAACAACATAAAAGATGATTAAATACATGGACTTCACCAGATGGAATACAGAGATATCAAATTGACTACATCTGTGGAAAGAGACAGTGGAAAAGCTCCATATCATCAGCCAAATTCAAGGCCAGGGACAGACTGGAACAGACCATCAAATGTTCATAAGCAAATACAGGCTGAAGAATATTAGAACAAGTCCAAGAGAGCCAAAATATGGCCTAGAACATATTCCACCTGAATTCAGAGAGTATCTCAAGAACAGATTTGATACACTGGACACTAATGATCAAATACCTGAAGAGTTGTGGGATGACATCAAGAAAGGTCATTAAGAAGTAAGAAAGAAAGCGAAGACCAAAATGGATGCCAAAAACACCTCTGAAATTTGTTCTCCAGCATCGCTGCTGTTATTAAGTGCAGTCGAGTTGGTTCTGTGCAGAGATGCTAAAAAAACAAAATGAAGAAATGAGGTGTTAAAACAGCTGAACAGAAAATGTCAATGGACAGCCAAAGTTACCTATTATAATGAAATGTGCAAAGATCTGAAGTTAGAACACCAAAAGGTTAGAACATGCTCAGCATTTCTCACACTGCAAGAACTGAGGATAAATTCAAGCCTTGACTTGTAATACTGAAGGATTCTTTGGACAAAATAATGAAGGATGCAGAAAGCATCAAAAGAAGATGGAAGGACCTAGGACCATCAAGGGAGAAGAGTAGAGAGCGGGACCCTACCCAGAGAAGCAGTGATGCCTGAAATGGAGCCAGAGATGATGACATGGAGCGATGGAGCAGCTGGAGACTTTAGATCCAGAGAGGGAGAGTGACTGTGTGCTGAAGACCTGGGGGGTATGGGGGAAGGATTGCATGGAGGGGATTGTAACCATGGCAATGAGACGATATATGATAGAATGAATGTAAGACTGATGTTCTCCCATGTAAACTATCACATAATTCACAATAAAACATTAAAAAAAAAAAGAAGATGGAAGGAATACGCAGAGTTTCTGTACCAAAAAGAAATGGATGATGTTCAACTATTTCAAGAGGAAGCGTATGATCAAGAGCCAATGGTATTGAAGGAAAAAGTCTGCACTGCAATGAAGGCAATTGAAAAAAAAAAACAAGGCTTCGGAAATTAATGGAATACAAATTGAAATCTTTAAACTAACTGATACATCACAGGAGGTGATCACTCATCTATGCCAAGAAATTTGGAAGATAGCTTACCTGGCAAACCGATTGGAAGAGATCTGTATTTGTGCCCATTCTAAAGAGAAGTGACCCAAGAGAATGTGGAAACCAATGGGCAGTGTCATTATTATCACATGCAAGTAAAATCCTGCTACAGGTAATTAAAAAAAGCAGACACAACAGTACACTGACAGGGAAATGCCACAGGTTCAAGCCAGTTTCAGATGTCGATGTGGAAAAAGGGACACCACTGTTGGTGAGAGATGGATCTTGGCCGCGAGCAGAGAATACCAGAAAGACGTTACCCTGTGCTTTATTGACTATGCAAAGGCTTTTGATTGTGTGGGTCATGACAAGCTACGGACCACATTGCAGAGTATGAGTATTCTGGAACACTTAATTGTGCTCATGAGGAACCTGTACACTGACCAAGAGGCAGCTGTTCAACCAGAACAAGGGAACACTGAATGGTTTAAAGTCAGGAAAGGTGTGAGCCAGGGTTGGATTCTTTCACCATATGTACTCGGTTTGTATGCTGAACAAGTAACTCGAGAAACTGTGGATTATATGAAGAAGAAAGTGGCATCAGAATTGGAGGAAGAATCATTAACAACCTGCAGTATGTTCCTCAGGAGAAAGATGAGGCTTTCTGCTCCCGTAAAGATTTACAGCCTCAAAAAAACCCTGTGCAGGGTCGCTATGAGTCGGAATTGACTCCACAGTACTTAACAACAACAACACAGCCTCTCTTGCTGAAAACAAAAAGGATTTAAAGTATTTAGTGATGAAGATCAAAGACCACAGCCTTTGGTATGGCATGCACCTCGATGTAAAGAAAACAAAAATTCTCACCACTCGTACAATAAATCACATCATGACAAATGGAGAAAAGACTTCATTTTGCTTAGATCCACAATCAGCACTCAGGGGAGCAGCAATCAAGAAATGAAACGACGTATGGCATTAGGCAAATCTGCTACATGAGACCTCTATAAAGTGTTCAAGAGCAAAGATGCCAGTTTGAGGACTGAAGTACACCTGATTCAAGCCATGGTACCTTCAACAGCCTCGTGGCATGTGAAAGTTGGACAGTGAATAAGGAAGACTGTAGAGAAACTGATACATGGGAGTTAAGGGGTTGGAGGAGAATATTGAAAGTACCATGGACTGCTAGAAGAACAAACAAGTCTGTGTTTGAAAAAAATCAACTAGCATGTTCCTTGGAAGCCAGCATGGCCAGACTTTGTCTCTGATACCTCAAACATATTGTCAGGAGGGACCAGCCCCTGGAAAAGAACAACAAGGTAAATAAAGGGAGCCCAACAGCAAGATGATTGGCACACCGGGCTCAAGTTGAACGACGACTGTGTGAGAAAGGCACTGAGCCAAGCAGTGAGTCATTCTGCTGTGTGTCAGGTCGCTATGAGGAAGAGCTGACCCTATGACCCCTAACACTACAATCAGAGACTCCGTTTGAGGGACCAGGTTTCATTAAGCTTCTAACAAGACCACGAGGCAACAGTTTATCCAAGGATGACATTGTATTTTATCAGAGTTAAAAAGAGGACTTTTAAGACATAAAGTAAAGCTAAAGCTCCTTGAATCATGGGGGATTTTCCGCCTCCTTATTCCCATTTCCTAAATAACAATATTTTAATGGCATGTTCAGAATTACTTTTAAATATACTAAATTTCCCCCAGTTTTTAAAATAAGTAACATTTTCCTGGCCAAACTGAAACTGCAGGGAGGCCTCAGAGAAGCGACTGAGCCCCGGGAGGCTGCAAAGGAGGGGCTTGGCTGTGGGGAGGCTCTAAGGGGAAGGTGTCCATCTTACCTGTGTTCCACATGCAGCACATGCTTGCGGGAGCCCAGGGGCGGTGGGCCTGGCCGAGCAACCCCACAGTTGTCCTCAATTCGCTCTAAGATGTGGTCAATATCTTCCTGCCCATTTTCCTAAAAGTCGAGAAAATAACTCATGAATCACTTCATTTAGATTGCTATAACAACTGAGGACAAAACAATTATCTTTAAAAAGAGCAACTGAAACATTTCATTTCTTGTTTAAAAGACAAAATAATTCATAAACTGTGGACCACACACACATTTAAAACAAAAAAGAAGTAGTTAAGAAGGAGAAGCTCAGATTAGACAAAATCACAGAACCAGAGGACCTGAGAGCTGAATCCTATTTTCCAGGCAAACAGGTGGGCAAGCCTGGCAGAGCTGAGAGCGCAGAGTGGTGGCAGTGCTCAGCTCCCCCACCCCCCACCCCGGTCCAGAACTAGCGCCAGGAGATGCACAACTAAGAGCTCTGTGAGAGCTGGGGAAATGAAACACGGCAGAGCGAGTTCTAATCCTCTAAGGAACTAAATGAATATAACAGGCAAAACTTGGGAGGGGCTCGCTTCTCCTTCCCCTACACTCCCAATGGAAAGGAATGCAAATCAGAGTCAGACAGACAGAGAGACTGCAGACACACCAGCCAGGCTGACCAACGCACCGGAGCCTCTCCTGTCACCTTCTTCCTACTCTTCTGCTGCTTTCTCTTCTTGCGGAGTTTGCAGCTTGAATTTGACTAAAGGACAAGGAGAGAACCATTGCTGGCCTCAGAGCAGCAGTCAGAGAGCGAGGAGGCCTGTCACCCCATCCACCGCCACCAGAGTACTTGGCTAACAATATGTACCTTACAACAGCCGGCCCCCAACTTCCTGCTCCGCCCCTTCTCAATGTGCCCAGACCTCTGCATACATGCATGGGGTCCTGAGCCATCTGCCATCTCCCCTCCCCTGTGCTCTGCTACCCTTGGGTATTGGGCCTGGTGGGCCCCTCACCCTACCAGGCACTGCCAGACCCCCCTGGAAACCTCAGTCAGGTACCCCTCTGCACACCCCATGATGGGCTGACAGTACAGTGCTCAGAACTGTGGCTCCATGTTCACCAGGCCCACCGGGCCAGAGGGCAGAGCCTGGCTCAGCACCAACACATTCCCAGTAGGCACACCCGGTATAGGGGGCTCCGCTGCGGGGACTGTGGTAGGCCTCGTAGAAGACCCCTTGTTCCTGGTCACTCACCCCAACCCCCTGGACAGGACACATAAGTTTCACGAGTATCTTATTTCTGCAGCAGACAGATTCGAGCATTAAGCTGAGCAACACTCCTCAGCCCTTTTTCCCTCATACCAGCGAACCGCAACGGCACACAGCTGCTCACAGGTATGCAATGATGCAGGCAGGCTCTCAGATGGGGAGCCAGGAGCAGTGCCTGGGACACGTGTCTGGCAGCCCTACACATAGCACCCACCCATCTAGGTTATAAACCAGTTTTGGGTAACTGGGCAATGACACACTCAAACTAGGAACTCATCCCTTCAGGACAACAAGCACAGGGACACAGCGGGTGTTTAGGTGCACCGGGGCCCCCCCAAGTCAACTCCACAGCCCCCATACCTGCTCAGAGGCTGCTGACTTGCCAGCCCCATCTCCATCCGTCTTGGTCTCTGTTCTCCCATGACTGGCTCTCCCTCTGTCTGTGGGCACGCAGTCCAACTTGTCCCCATTCACCACAGGCTCCTCCTCCAGTTCCTCAGTGTTGATCTGTGAGGGAGACCACTGTCTGCTCACCACGTTCAGACTTAGAGGGTGGGGCTGAGAGGCGTGAAGGCGAGAGGACAGTTGGTCACACTTCAATCTAGTCTGAGGTACTGAGTGGTATCTGCCTCCAGTGAGCGCCACTGATGCCAGGCAAGACTGGGCTCCACACCACAGCTCTGTCCATGGGCTTTCTGAACGCGTGCTGACACAAGGCTACTTCTGCACCTCAGCCTAAAGCACAGCAGCATCTGAAGGCCTCCTGGGCTCTCTATGTCCCCAAGCATCATTTACCCCCTTCCAAAGTTAAGAACTTAGACACAAATGTTCAGTCAATGCGTTACTGCATGCTCTTCCTCCCCATGCCCACTCAAGCTGCTGTTTACCAGAGGGAGCAGAAAGGACCAGAACCTGGGAGAGGGCACACCTAGGCCCCACTCCAACACAGCGCAAGGATGGTCTCACTGACTTTTCCCCATGAAGACAGAAGCAATATATGAAAACCACCACAATCCACATAGCAGAGCCTCCTATACAGTGAGATGAATGAACCCAGTTACACGCACAACACAGGTGAATCTTAGAACATTAAATGACAAAAGTACCATGTGAGTCCCTTTTAGAAACCCAAATTGCTAAGAAGCAGAGAGCCGTTTGGACTGTACCCACAGCAGCCCCAGTGTGGCTTCTATAGTGACAGCAGTGTTGCTGACGGCGCTCACTCCACTGTCTTCCATTCAGACATAAACTCACAGTCATCCTGACCTAAGTCTCTGCTACTCAAATTTAATTGTGCTCATGAGAAATCTGTACACCGACCAAAAGGCAGTCGTTCAAACGGAACAAGGGGACCCTAAATGGTTTAAAATCTGGAAAGGCCTGCACTAGAGTTGTATTCTTTCAGCATAATGATTCAATCTGTATGCTAAGCAAATAATTCAAGAAGCTGAATTATATGAAGACAAAAGTGACCTCAGGACTGGAGGAATACTTATTAACAAACCTGTGATATTCACATGATACAACTCTGCTTGCTGAAAGTGAAGAAGACTTAAAATACTTACGGATGAAGATCAAAGACCACAGCCTTCGGTAAGGATTGCACCTCAATATAAAGAAAACAAAAATGCTTACCACTAGTGATAAATGGAGAAAAAATTAAAGTTGTCAAAGAATCCACTTTGCTCAGATCAACCATCAACACTCATGGAAGCCGCAATCAAGAAACCAACAGAGGAGAACACCCACACTTGCAGATAACACCCACTTGCCCTGGCTTCAATGGCTGGATAATCAGAACTCGACTAGAAAAAGAAAAAGGAAAACAAAGAGTAATCTGATACAATTTGATGAACTTGACCTAGTTCAAAAGAGGGAACAAAGCTTTACAGCGAGGATCATTCCGACCCCCTCCACACAGAGTAGACAGGGATGAGCAACTTGGACATTGGCTACCCAAAATGAGGGGGAGGGAGCTAAAAAGGCAAGAAGTGACTGGCTTACAAGTTTTCAAGGGGTAACCTAGATCCAGAGGGTGCAAAGGAAGGTAGAATCTCCACTGAGTGGTATCCAATCTGTCTGGGCAGGGCTGATGAAAGGAGATGGAGATAGATCTCTTGTGATACAATAGTGAATAACTGTTATCAGGATTGACTGTGAGGGTTGGAAATGTAAAGGCAGACGTTTCACAGCAAAAGGAGGGGAGTGATTGACTTTGCAGTCCAGGAGCAGAGGTCCCTGGGACCATCAAGGGAGAAGAGCAGGGAGAGCGGGACCCTACCCAGAGAAACAGTGACGCCAGAGATGGAGGCAGAGATGATGACGTGGAGAGATGGAGCGGCTGGGGACTCTAGACCCAGAGATGGAGAGGGGTTCTGTGCTGACGACTGGGGTCAGGCTTGCAGGGTATACACTTTGGTTGGTTGATGATGCATGGAGGGGATTGCAATCATGGCAATGAAATGACATACGACAGGATGAATGTAAAGCTAATGTTCTCACAATAAAAACTTCAAAAGAAAAAAAATCAAATGACGTATTGCATTAGGCAAATCTGCTGCACAAGACCTCTTCAAAGTGTTCAAGAGCAAAGATGCCAGCTTGAGAATTAAGGTGTGCCTGACTCAAGGCATGGTATTTTCAATAGCCTCATATGCATGTGAAAGCTGAACAATGAATATGGAAGACCATAGAAAAATTGATGCATTTGAGTTATGATTTTGGAAAAGAATATTAAAAGTATCATGGACTGCTTAAGGAATAAATAAATCTGTATTAGAAGAACTACAATCAGAATGCTCCTTATAAGCTAAGTGGCCAGACCTTGTCTCTCATACTCTGGACATATTATCAGAAGGGACCAGTTTCAGGAGAAGGACATCGTGTTGTTTTTAAGTGCCATCGAATCGGTTCCTGTGTAAGGTTTCCAAGGAGCCACTGGTGAGCTTGAATCACCGACCTTGCAGATCATGCGACTTTGCACTCTGGCGCATTAACCCACAACGCCACACTAGGACTCTGCTTGGTAATGTGGAGGGACTAAAACTTGAGGAGAGGCCTGATTTTTTTTTTTTAACTGGGTAAGGGGTATAATTTACAGTTCAGTGCATTTTGGCAATTATATACAATTGTGTAACTCACATGCTTACCAAGACATACAATATTCCCATCACCCCAAAAATATATGCCTTGTACTATTCCCGATTAAATCCCACCTCTGTCTTGGAAAAAACAACAGAGATTTTCTGCACCAGCTTAGTTTCAAACCACTTATTGCACTTTATACAGAGTCCTGGTATGGTGCTGCGGAATAAAGCATTCGACCTCAAGGTAGGTTTGAACCAAATGGTCTGAGGTTCAAACTCACCAGTTCCTTGGAAATCCATTACAGGGTCACTATGAGTCAGAACTGACTCAATGGCACTTAACAACAACATGCACCTCACACAAACAGGCTCACACGTAAACCCTTTTTCATGTCTGGAACCATCCTCAGTGGTAGGATTCCCTGTAGCTGTTAGCTGCTGCTGAGTCGAGTCTGACTCATGGAGAACCCCAGTGTGCAGAACAGTTCCATAAGATTTGCAAGTCCTTTCGGAAGCAGACTGCGAAGCCTGTGTTCAAAGGTGCCACTTGTTGTTAGGGACCATCAAGTCAGTACCAACTCATAGCAACCCTAGGTACAACAGAATAAAACACCGGTCCTGGGCCAATCTCACAAGTGTTGCCACGCTTGAGCCCATGGATGCTGCCACTTGGCCAATCCATCTCGCTGGGGGTCTTCCTCTTTTTTCTCTGGGTTTAAAATCACCAATAGTAGTCCAACACTTAATCCCTGGGATGTATCAGCAGTTAAGTCACTGTTACTGGTTAGTATCTTCTTGTATGGATACACCACATTTAGTTCAGTCATTCTCCTGTTTAAAACATTTTAGTTGTTTCCAGTTCTTGGCTACTATGAACGTTTATGAACAAATCTTTCTAAGTTAAAATCTAAAAGTGGAATTATCGGGTTATAGGATAGGTGTGAACTCCCCCATCTGAATTCAAAGACCATCTGAAGAACAGATTTGATGCATGAACACTATTGACCAAAGCCAGCTGAGCTGTGCGATGACATTAAACCAGGAAACACTCACAGTTTTAGTTCTCTAGTGCTACAAAAACAGGAATCCCACAGGTGGAGGCTTGAACAAACACAAAGTTACTCTCTCACGGTTTAGGCAGCTGAAAGTCTGACTTCAGGGCACCAACTCTAGAGAAAGGTCCTCGCCTCATTTTACCATCTGTGGCCCAGCATTTCCTGGAGTCTTGGTATCAATCTTTCTTTGAATTCAGGAACTCCAGGTCAAAGTTCATACTCCACCCCTCCCACCCATCCACCCAGCTCTCTTTCTAGGTGGTGGTAGGTTCCTCCTCTCTGCTCATTTCTCTCCTTTGATCTCTTCTAAGATAAAAGGTGTTGCATGCCACACCCCTGGGGATGTCCCCTACACAAGAACAGGATCTAGATGGAAATAAGGGTAGTGTTGTTGTTGTTGTTAGCTGCCATCGAGTCGATACCGACTCATAGCGACCTTATGCACAGCGAACGAAACACTGCCTGATCCTGGGCCAACCTCACTACTATTGCCACGCTTGAGTCCATCGATGTTGCCACTTGGCCAATCCATCTTGCTGGGGGTCTTCCTCTTTTTCTCTGACCCTCCACCCTACCAAACATGATATCCTTCTCCAGCGACTGGTCCCTCCTGACAATATGTCTGAAGTATGAGATATGAAGTTTGGCCATCTTGGCCACCCTTAATGGAATCTTGGTATGGCCCTATAGGGTAAGCACTTCAAACCCCACAGCAGCTCCTTAGAAGCCCTACACAGGTCACTATGAGTCAGCACTTAGCAACAATGCCAGCCCCCCTTAATCCTGTTCTTGGTGTTTAACCTCAGATCACACCATGGGGGACCATCACGTAACTACCACACCACGGACAATTACAGCCGAGCCACACTGACACTTATTTTAGGGGACACAATTCAATCCATGACAGTCATTCAAGAAGAAAACACTTCTAAAAGACCAAAATGGATGTCAGAAGAGACTCTGAAACTTGTTTTTAATCACAGAGTATCTAAAGTGAATGGAAAAATAATGACGCTAACAGAACTTCACAGAAACCTTTAAAGTGCAGCTCACGAAGACACAGCATCGTAAGGAGAGACGCAAAGACCTGGACTTAGAAAATCTGAAGGAAGAACAAGCTTAGCTTCTCTCAAACTGAAAGAACTGAAGGAAAAATTCAAGCTTGAAGGAAGCTGCAATATTGAAGGATTCTATGAGCAAGACAGAGTAGTGGTGTGGAACTTCGGGTTAACACGCCAGACTGTAAAGCCGTTTGAACCGTAAGGTCAGCAGTTCAAGCTCACCAGTTGCTCCTCGAAAACCCTATACGGGGTTGCTATGGATTGGAACGGACTCAACAGCACATAACAACATATCACCTGAATTATATACCCATAGCAACCCTGTGAAGTAGGATAAATATTGTAGGAGACCACTGCTGTAAACCTATGAAAAGATTTTCTCGCTAAAGGAAACATTCTAAGATGGTTTCCAGGGGTGGGAGGGAAGGGAAAAATTATTCACTGGGTAGAGGGTGGTACCGACTCATAGTAACCCTTTTTAGGGTTTCCGAGAAGGGGCTGGTGTGTGTGCACCACTGACCTTGTGGTTAGCAGTCCAGTGCTTATCCTAGGACTTAGTGATAGCTAAGGCAATATACCAGAGGGAAGCTGGTACAGAAAAGATGGAGGTAATGAAGACACAGGGAGGAATGTGAGTTAAAGTGACTAGAGGTAAACACTGCTAATTGATGGTGCATGGAGGGGTTGCAATTCGAAACTACCAGCTGTTTCGCGGGAGAAAGATGAGGCTTTCTGCTCCCGTAAAGATTTCCAGCCTCGGAAACCCTGTACCAGGTCGCTATGAGTCGGAACCCACTCCACAGAACATAACAACAACAACAACAATCACATCCAAGTGGTCCTTGACCTCCAAACTACCAAGATGTTCTATTCTATGACATCATGTTTATTTGCAGCATAATAAATATGGTAAGCTGCACACATGCACCCTAATGTAACCAGTTCTCTACTGTTGGGCATGGTTATAGAAACGATACTGTAACTGATGTTTGTAGTAAACCCTTACACAATCCTATAAGTTCCTCCTAGTAAGTTCACTAAGAGAAACTGCTGGGTCATTTAAGATTTTACCAGACTTTCCTCCAAGGGGCCTGCAATCATTTCTCTCAAGATGTATTCTTCATGGTCCTGACCTAGCCACTTCAGGGAAGTGCAAATTAAAACCAAACTGCTATACCAGTGCATCCACCTCCACAGGATGGCTGAAAGTACAGAGCTGATACCACAGCGTGCTGCTGAGGACCTGGAGCAACTGGAATGCCCACACACTGATTGTGGGGGTGTAAAATACTACAACCACTCTGGAGAAATGATTAGCAATCTCTACTCTGAAATATTCAACCAAGAGCTAAAGAGACTTGTACATAAATACTCAGAGCAGCTTTATCTAAATAGTCTGTAAACAATCCAAATGTCTATGAGGGGACAAATTGTGGCATATTCATGCAATCCAACATAATACTAACTCTCAATGTCAAAGACACTTTATAACAGATCCTTATAAATCAATATAAAGATAAAAAGCCTCCAGGGAAAATAAAGAGTATTAGATATGAAAAGGCAATTCATAAGAACAACAACAATAAAAACCCTACCATATAAGCAAAAACATTCTGTTTTTGACACACTGATTCTCTCCTGCTGTGATTCCATTTCTTCTAGAACAGGCACGAGTAAAGTAGAAAGACTCAGAGTGGAGCCACGGGTGCCTGGAGACAGGGGTGGGAGGTACTAACTGGAAATGTTCTCTTCTTGGTGATTGTATTTACATGGGAATGCAAGGGACTTCAAAAGTTTTTGGAGAAGAAGAAGAGAAGATAAAGGAATTTCTCCCTGAACATTTTAAAGTCCTCTCTTTATGTTTGTCAATTTGCTCCTTAAGAAAGGTTGGCAATATGCCAAGCAAACCTTATAGATCAATTCTACTCTGTAATACATGAGTCACCATGACAGCAATGATTTGTTTGTTTGCTATATGATAAAAAGTCTACGAAAATGGCCACCTTCAACACAAACTGATTCTGGTCAGTCAACAACTGGGGCAACAATGAATACTTGAGTGTCTGAAGAACAGTCAAAAAATTACCAGCAAACCAAAGAGTAAATGTGATACTCTTTGGATTTGCTTTGAAATATGCAACCATGGGAGAAATGGATGAACCGTAACTTGCCTGGACACAGGGTGATAGAAACAAGGGACTTCCTTTATTAACACTCCCATTTTATGTATCTGAGATTTTTCATGAGAAAACGTTCACAGCAATGACAAGAAAAAGGACGTGGCGTGGTTTCAGTCTGAGACTTGGAAGAAGAGAGTGATGAATGTGGACAATACAGGGTAAGACCTTCAATGGAAAAGGCTATGAATCGCTAAAACCAAAGTCCCAAACGCAAGGCTCACTGGGTCCTTCATTCTCCATGCTGCACAGAGCTGGGGCCACTGCCAAGACTAGGAGAGAGTTGGTATAACCAACTTACACCCCTTCAACCACCGGACCGCTGACCGCCCTCGAGCCCAGCCACGTGGGGCTCACAGACACACAGACAGGCGGGAATCAGCCCAAGAGGCAGGCACAAGCAGACAGTCCACATTCACGGGGTTCTCTTCCAGCGCCAGGAACTGACGGGATGTCATTGCTGAGGAAGACCCGGACACCTTGGACGTGGGAGGAGCGCTGTGAGGATTAAACTAGGGCGGATATTTGTCCAACAGGCACTGGTGCATAAGCAATAATCGAGCCCACAACCCATACCGAAGGACCCAGGGAAGCCCCGCCCACCGGGTCAGACTTCCGCGCTGCCCATTCACAGCCTGCCGCGCTCCTGACGCCACAGCCCCGCCCACCTCCCCTCCGTACTGGCACAGCTTCGCCCCGCCCACCTTATTGCGGCCTGAGTCCATCTTCGCCACACCCCTAACCCGGCCCACTCCACTGCAGTCCAAACACACCTTCACCCCCGCCCACCGCGGCACTGTGGCCTAGACACTTCACCCCTCCCCGTTGATGTCACCCCCATCCCCTACAGAAGCCCAACCCCCCCAGGCCCCGCCCACCCCGCAGAACCCAAACCCAAGTCTACACACGCCCACTCGTGACGTCACGGCAGCGTCCGTGCAGGTCCCGCCCCGCGCAGGTCCACCTAATCACCGCTCCTACCCACCGCCCCAACTCCTGGTAACTGGGGTCCTCACCAACTCGAACCGGTTGTTGACGCATACGCCCTCCTTCCCTGTGTCCCGGGGGCGGCGACCAGCCGGTTCCTGTTTTAGCCCTTCTTCTTCTGCGTCATCATCTTCCCGGAGGACAAACTGCAGGGCGCCGGGGCCAAGAGGCTCCTGGCCGCGCTGTTTCCCTCGCAGCCTCCGAAGGGCCCGGCGCGACATGGAGCCCAACGGCTGTAGACGTCTGGAAAAAAGGGGAAGGGAAAACAGCAGAGAGAGACCTGCAGCGCACCTGCGCACTGGCGGCCGGCTGGCGCGAGTCTGCGCGCTGCGGCTCCCAGAACTGCTTACGTCGCTGGTAGCGTCACAGTTGCGTGTGCCGGGCCATCTCTCGCGAGAGTTGGGTACCCCCTCGCGTCCCTGATCGCAAGAACTCTGCAGGGTTTCTCTGATGTTCCGGAGGGGTCCCAGACAGTTGACGAGTTGTGTGTTGGCGCGGAGGCGGGAGACCCTCAACCTAGACTTTGGTTTTCAAAGGTCATTCCAGGGAATAAGGGAGGGCATCACACAGGTGACAGATGGAGGAAGTGAGGAGGGTCTTCACTCCCACGCTGCACGTCTCACTTTGGCACTTAGCAAGTTTAACTCTTCCGTGCAAAACGGGACAGTTCCCACCTCGCTAAAAACAAAGAAAGCCAAGCCCATTCCAGCTGATTCTGGCTCATGTGATTGAGAACTGCCTCAGCTTTCTCCCTAGGAGCAGCTGGTGGATTTGAACTGCAGCCAAGTGTTTAATCCTCTGCACAACCAGGATTCCTTACCCATTAAAAAAAAAAAAAGTTAACTGGAGTCCATTCCAACTCATGGTGACCCTTATACAGGGTTTCTCAGGCTATAATTCTTGTTAGAGTGTCGAGTCCATTCCCACCTATAGCGACCCTGTATAGTTTCTGAGGAGGGGCTGGTGAGCTTGAACTGCTAACCTTAGGGTTCACATGAGTTTACAGTCCAGTGCATTAACCTACAGTGCTAAACCAGGACTCTTTATAAACCTTTATGGGCGCAAAACACCTCATCTGTCTCCCGAGGAGCTGTTGATGGGTTTGAACTGTCAACTTTGCAATTAGCAGTCTAGTGCTTATACTACAGTACCACCAGGGTTCCTTTACCCAGATCAAAAGACTCCAAAATTCAGGGCAGGTTCTGGAAATTTGGTATTTGTCACTGGTGTGTATCTTTGTTACATTCATGAGGTAGGATTAACATAGAGTATATTTTCAATCTCTTTTAAGGTTGTTGTTGTTAAGTACCGTGGAGTCGGTTCCGACTCATAGTGACCCTGCACAGGGTTTCCGAGGCTGTAAATCTTTACAAGAGCAGAACGCATCATCTTTCTCCCGTGGGACAGCTGACCTTGAAGTTAGCAGCCCGATTCGATTTATAACCACTATGCTACCAGAAGAAAAGATTAAATACAAACTAGCAAGCCAAGATAGGTGAAGAGAGATGCCAAGTGACATGAAAATTGCTTAGGAGCAAAAGTTCAGTAGACACAAGGACCTTCTTCCAGAGCCAACAGAAAATGCCATACTCCACAGCCAGCACCCATTTTGGATTTCTAGCCTTCTATGCATTGGACTGCAAGGTTAGTGGTTCAAAGTCACCAGCCACTCCTTGGAAACCCTTTACAGGGTCACTGTGAGTCACAAGCGATTCTATGGCACTTATCAACTGTGAGAACAAAAATTTCAGTTTCTTACAGTCACCCATTTATAATGTTTCTATGGAAGGAGCTCTGGTAGCGTAGTGGTGACGAATCGGGCTGCGAACCTTAAGGTCAGCGGTTCGAAACTACCAGCCGCTCCGCGGGAGAAAGATGAGACTTTCTACTCCCGTAAAGATTTACACCCTTGGAAACCCTTTACAGGGTCACTGTGAGTCACAAGCGATTCTATGGCACTTATCAACTGTGAGAACAAAAATTTCAGTTTCTTACAGTCACCCATTTATAATGTTTCTATGGAAGGAGCTCTGGTAGCGTAGTGGTGACGAATCGGGCTGCGAACCTTAAGGTCAGCGGTTCGAAACTACCAGCCGCTCCGCGGGAGAAAGATGAGACTTTCTACTCCCGTAAAGATTTACACCCTTGGAAACCCTGTACAGGGTCGCTATGGGTCGGAACCGACTCGACGGCACTTAACAACAACAACAACAACAACATATTTCTTTTATAGCAGCACTGTGGGATTAAGGCGTGTGGTAAACAGTGGTCTAAGGGAGCCTTCTGAGCAATCTACTTGGTTCCATTTGCTTCCTGGGGCATTCACTTTGCACTGCTTCATCTACGCCTAACTCGCTCATGGTGGCTTAGCTGCACAGACTATTTTTGGCCAGGTTTGCTCCCCTCTCTGCAGCATTTCGCTTGCCTTGTCTAAAATGGGATGACGGTAGAATCCCGTCTCCTGGGTGGAGTGAGCACAGAGCAGTCAGTGCAGGGACTGAGCCTGGAAGCAGCCCCTCTAGCCCTCACATTTCAAAGGAGGAGGTGGAACCCAGCCATGGTGCCCAGAAAGTAGTTCTGTTGTACAGTGCCTTTGAGTCGGTTCCGACCCATAGCAACCCTGACTAGGGTTTCCGAGGAGGGGCTGGTGAGCTTGAACTACCAATTTTGTGGTTCAAAATGACTTTGCTGTCAAGTGCATTAACCCCCAGCACCACACCAGGACTACCAGAAGGGATCTGGACAACGAGGCTGGAGCACGCCCTGTCATGACATCCTGCCAGCTTCAGTACTGAGGTTGGACTGGCATCATGAGACTAGTAGAGAGATTTTCCTGATCCCAGTGGGCAGGCAATCCCACAGAGCCCAGCTTCCATCTTCAGGAGCCATGTCCCCTGCTTTAGGCACCGAGCAAGACTCGACCACAACTTGGTCACACTCCAGAGAGCAACTGTAAGACCACCTTTATTGGGCCGAACGTGGCCGTGTGTACAAGCTTACACATCTGCACTCCTCCACATCAGGACTGCCCAGGCCCTCAAGGCCCTTCTGAGCTCAGAGCGCCAGCCTGGTGAGGGACCAAAAAGGGGATGAGTAGGGAAAGACAGCAGGCCAGGAGAATGGGCTCAGCCAGTCTCTGAGGTGCAAGGTGGGTGAACCTCAGCTGGGGCTGAGCCTGAGCCCCTGAGAGGGAGCAGATGGACATCCACCCAGGAAGAATTCTTGGGGGACATTCTGGGAGAACAGGGAAGCAGTAACAGTCAAGGTTCCATCTAGAACCCTCTGCTCTACCCAGGATCTGCACCCCACCAGGAATCCTGAGAGGAAATGGCCTCCCCCACAGACGGTCCTGGAGGGGCCAGGAACTATGTATATAAATATAGAGGCTGTGTATATATTATATAAATGTGTCTATGTATATATGTACATGCACAGCTAGGGGCTGGGGGCCTGGAAAGCCGTCAGAGGAGGGCCATCACTGGAAGTCCAGCGTCCTGGTGGACGGAATGTACAGGGACTGGGTTTGGCGGGCACGGCGTGGCGTGGTGTTGAGGACATCGACACTCTTTCTGCTGGAACGGACCACATCGGCCACGAAGCTGGTGCAGTCACTGCAGACACCCCTCAGGACGCAGCCATGGGCGTAGATGTGGGGGAACTCCTCCTCCACGCCCCGCCACTGGGGGCCCTGCAGGGACCTAAGGAAGAAGGCTAGCTCAGCAAGAGCACCGACCATCTCTCCACACCCACAGCCACCCCTGCCCAGCCACCGTGTCCTCCTCCCCCATTCCCTTTCCCACCTCCTCCCACTTTGTCCAAGGCTACATGCCCCTCAAGCCAGTAGTAGTTCCACACAAAGGAGGGTCCACACAGATTTTTGGAACCAATGAATGAAAAAGCAAGCCTCAGCATCCCAGAGTCCTCCACAATGGAGGTTAGGGTTAGCTGAGCTGGCCCCACCAGCAGCTCCCACAGCCCGGTGAAACCATCGCAGCACCCTCAGCAGCAAGACCAGGGACTCACTGGAAGAAGTCTTTTCTCTGTGCAGATGCGGTCCTGCCACTTGAAGTCCTCTGAGGGCTCTCAAAGCCCAGTGTGTATACAGGAATGTGTGCAAACTTCTTAGATGGTATCTTCATCTGCAATGTGGAAGGAGGCATGATGAGTGAGACCACACAGACAAGGGAAATGGCCGCAAGGAGGAGCTGGAGGTCAACCTGGGCCCTACTCTGCCTCCCTCTCCTCTGGTATCTGAGACCCAGCATATACCTCTGGTTCATCAGAACTCCTGTCTGGAGTTCTAAGAGGAGAGGGGTCACACTGGACCTAGTGTCATGCCATGCATTCAGTAAATGCTTAATGCTGATGAGATAAAAGATCTTCCACTGCCAAGTGGCAAGATAGTGAAGGTCAGGCCACGTCTTGTTTCTGAGTTGGGGTGTAACGGGGTAATGACCTTCTAGATACTATTAGTCTCCCTTCACCCATGAGAATACTGGCCACAGTCCTCTCAGCTCTGCAGTCTAGAGCCTCCCCAGAAACACTAAGAGGGGGGTGCACAGCATCAGGGAACGTGAAGGCATGCTGGCACGTGGAATGGTTTTTAAAAGGCTACCCATTAGGGTGTTGGAGTCCTGGTGTGGTGCTGCACAATAATGCACTCAGACCACAAAGTCATTTTGAACTGCAAGGTTGGCAGTTCAAATCCACCAAATGCTCGTCGGAAACCCTATACAGAGTCACTATGAGTTGGGATAGACTCCACAGCAGTTAACAACAAGGGTATTAGTGGCACAGTGGGCTACTGACAGGTAGGCAGTTCGAGCCCAACCAGGTGCTCCTCAGGAGAAAGACAGGCTGTCTGCTTCCAGAAAGATGGCGGCCTCAGATATCCTACGGGGCAGTCCTCCTCTGTCCCACAGGATGCTGGGAAACCCT